TTTGTTTTTGATATATTACCTTAAGGGCTTGTAATATGTTTTCACCAAAATTCATTTCTTCCATTACTCTTAGCATAAAATGCCAATTCAGTTGGTCAAATGCTTTTTCAGCATCTAAAAATATGAGCCCTGCAGGAACTTGGTTGTTCTTATCTAAGTATTCTAATAAGTTAATAATTTGTCTAACATTGTTTTTCATATACCTTCCTGTTATAAACCCTGATTGATCTTTATGCACAAGATGATGCACCACCCTCATAAGCCTATTTACCAAAATTTTTACAAATATCTTATAATCCACGTTTAAAAGAGATATAGGCCTATAGTTTTTTGGTAAAGTAAGATCTTGATCCTCCTTTGGAATCAATGATATAAAAGCACTACGCCATGAAGGAGGAATCTCTAAACCCTGTAAGATACCATTAAAAAGATCATTTAATGGTTGAATCATCTCCTCCATTAAAGCTTTATAATAAACAGCTGTTAACCCATCCGTACCCGGTGCTTTCCCTAATTTCAATTGTTGAATTGCTGAGGCGATTTCCTCCTTAGTAATTAAACCATTAATTTCATATTTCTGATCCTCAGTCAGTTTAGGAAAACTTGCCTCAGCTAAATATTTATTTATATCTAACAGTTGTACATTAGTAGATTTGTATAGGTTTTGATAATAATCCAAAAAAGATTTTTTAATTAATTCCTTCTGAGAAACTAGTTTACCCTTATAATTTATTTTCTCTATTATTCTCAGTCTCTGTTTCTTTCTTAATTGATAAGCCAACCATCTCCCCGGCTTATTAGCATTACAAAATGTATTTTGTTTCATAAATAATAAATTGGTTGCAGCTTGATCTGCTATCAACATATTAAATTGTGACCTTAATAACTTTACAGATTCTTTAGTACTTTCATCAGAAGGATTTAGAATCAAAGCCCTTTCTTTTAGTTTAATTTCATCTTCAAGTTCTCTACGTTTCTGAGTCTGATTTCGCTTATAAAAATTATTCATTTTTATCAAAACACCGCGCATAAATGCTTTACCTGCATCCCATACCATTGACATTGAAGTCCCCTTATACATATTCAAAGCAAAATAGTCCTTTAAACACTCCTTTAGTTTTTGAACATTCTTCTCTTGTCTAAACAAATTTTCATTAACTCTCCAGGATCTTCTTTCCTCTTTCTCTTGAATCAACTCCATCCAAACTGGACTATGATCCGTCAGTGATCTAGGAAAAATCTTTACATTCTTTACTTTATTATACAAATCCGTGGTAATCAAGAAAAAGTCAATTCTTGAAAAAGATTGGTGTCTGTCAGAAAAAAAAGTAAAGTCTCTCTCCTCTTGATTACGTTCCCGCCAATAGTCCCTTAATTCCCAGTCTTCTTTCATATCAAAAAAGGCTTTAGGTAGCCTTGCTTGTTTAAGAAAAGGAGAGGAACCTTTCTTATCCCTTTGTGTATCTAAGACACCATTCCAATCACCCATTAATACCACCGATCTATAATCAAGCAAAGTTATTTTTTGGTGTAACTGTTCCTGTTGTTGATTTGGAGCATAAAGTCCAACTATAAGTACTTTCTTACCATAAATACCAAGTTCAATCATCACATATCTCCCCTGGGGATCTGATTCTACCAGACAAGCTGGCAGGTTTTGTTTGACATATATAACAACTCCCCCTTTCTTCCCAGGTGCAGGAGATATAAAATGAGATCCCAAACGAGCATTAACTAAATATTTCTGATCTTTAAGTAGAATATGAGTTTCCTGTAAACAAATAACATCATTGGTATGTTGTTACAAATAATAAAAGATTTTTTTCCGTTTCTGAGGAGAATTCAATCCATTAACATTCCAGGTCAAAAACTTTGCCATCTCCCTTGGCACGCAGCCTGGAGAAGACACCATCAAACTCTGACAGAGCTGCGTGTGTTGCATAACTCTTGGGTCTTGCTCCTCCCACCGGCGGTGATGCACTTCCAGGAGAATTCTCTTTGGGCTCTTTTTTACGTTGCTCTTTCTCTTTACGCTTATAAGCTGCACGAGTCATCCTCTGCTCTTTAGCCTCCGTTTGGCGTTGCTTTGCCACTTCTATCATCCCTGCGGAAACCAAATCTAGTGCCTCAGATTGCTGCTCAGGTTCCTTAGCACTCAAAGATTTCCGACAAGATGAAGTTGAGCCTGCACTCAGGACCGAAGTATAGAAATCTCTAGCTTTGTCAACTGTGTTCAATCTGTAACGTGTCCCAGCATGGCTCAAAACGATACCCATCGGAATTTCCCATCTGAATGGCATCGATCTAGCTTTAAGCTCATTGGTTAAAAAAGCAAAGTCTTTCCTACTTCTTAAAATTTTAGATGGGATTTCCTTTAGAATGATGACATCTTGGGCGGCAATCTGAAATCTTTTGTTGTAAAAAGCTTGTATAATCTCATTCCGCAGGGACTTCTTTGTAAAGTAAATCACCACATCTCTGGGCAAATTCTTCTGCTTAGCAATCCAGGAGTTGAGTCTATAAATTTTTTCTACTTCTCTCTGTAATTCTCCTTTATCCATATCCAAAGCCAGCGCCAGATCACTAAGAACCACCTCCATCAAATCTTGATTCATATCTTCCTTGAGGCCTCTAATCCTCAGAGCATACTCCATTTGTCTGTATTGAAACATCAAAATATCTTCTTGTGAGGAGTCCACCTTCCTTTCCACGTCTTGAATTTTGTCATCTAAAGAGTCAACTTTGTCTTCCACTTCCTCAAGCCTTGCATCGAGCTTAACCACCACAGTAGCCAAACCTGAAACAGCTGCCAGTATATCTTGTCGTAATTCATTATTATTTTCTTGCAATTTAGACTTTATCCCCGTTGTCTCTTCTTTGAGATCAGATTTAATTTCTGATTTAATCTGTGAAACAAATTGAGTCATTTCCTCTCTCATTTGAACTACAATCTCTCCCATTATGCCTCTAACCTCTTGCACTGAAAGTCCAGGTAGAGGAGGGGAGGGTGGTGGCTGAGCCGGTGGTGCATGTTTAGATTGTTGTTGTAGCTGTGCAGTGGAAGTTATAGGAGAAGAAATAACCTTGGGTACTGAGGAAGGCTGCTGCCTCTTTGAAGCCATTTTAAAAAGCACAATTATCACTTCCCTTTCCCCTCCAGCCAAAAAGGGAGGAGGAAAAAAAGAAAAAAAGAATTTTTAAAAAGAGACAAACTATAATCATTAAAAGTCCAGAATAAATCCCAAGAATAAGTAATAAAAGAGCAAACAATTCAAAAAAAAAATTCTAAGCCAAAAGCAAAAGCAAAAGCAAAAAACAATCCTTAAAAAGGGAAAGTAAAACAAAAGAGAAAGGAAAAAAAAACTCCGACACTTTCAAAACGCCATCTTAAGTCCTTTCACTAGTATAACAAAGAAAAGGAGGAAAAATAGTAAAAATCAAAAGATAAAAAAATAAACACCTAAAATATAAGAAAAAGTCCTTTAAACTGCTCCGTCCGTTTAAAAATTACTCACCAAAATGCTGTAAACACGGAGATAGAAGCGGCGGTTTCTTTTGCTTCCAAGGAAGCAAAAACAGCTGGGAGGCGGAGATCAGCAAGAGCTCCGAGGGAACACTCCTTTCACCCCCTCTAGAAATAAATCCAGAGGGGGTTCAGGGGTTCTACCTCTACTCTTGCGTTCTCTATCCCTTCCCTTTGCCCGGGAAGGGATTTCCGAGCCGCGGGCCAGCTGATGCGCGCTGCGCTCCGCGGCTCTGACACTTCCCCAGCTGGACGGCTAAAAGCTAGCCGCCATCGCCGTCGCCTCCCACCGGAAGCTCCTCAATACATCAATTTTAAAATATTTTGCTCCATTCTGTATTAGTAAATTTAAATATTCATCTCTTTCAATTGTAATCTTTATTTCCTTCTGGTTCCCTCTAGTGTCTAACCTTCAAAGTCTCATCCTGTCTTGTTTTTTAAGAGAATTCAAAACATCAGCATTTTCCCACGGGAAGGATTATTATAATTAATTCCAAAATCTTATTTAAAATCCTTCTGGAATTCCATGGAATGATGAGGCTTTAAGGATTTGTTTATAGAAAAGAGATGGGATATGGGAAGATGATAATTTATTGTATTTTAAGGGAAAGTGGTATGTTACTAAAATTGTTTATATGTGATGAAGTTGGTTGTTAATTAAAATATTATAAAAAAGAAAAATGGCTGAAATTATTCCACTTTCCTTAGTATTCTTTTATTGGTTGTGTTTATTATAACAGAATCAACTGTTTACGTAGATGAAGATGTACAGATTGGCCCTTTAGAAGCCTTATAAAATGCCACAATGTCAAATGAAATTACTTTAGACGGCACAAGTTTTGATTGATGTGTTTTGGGATTTAAAATAAATACATTTTAACTGAGAAAAACATATTCCCCCATTTTGAAAACTAGAAGTATAGAGAGGAGATCCAGGATAGTTTACTTGTGAACAGACTAGCTTTAGATCCTCCTTTCTTCTCTGTCTCTCTCTCTCTTTTCTCTCTCTCTTTCTCCCTGTGAGTGAGTGATAATAAGGAGTAGTACCTCTGAGTTCCTAGTGAATCTGAGTCACCTCTGTAAAAGGAGAATTTGTCTCTTTAAATCCCAGAAAACACATTATTCTGTGCCTTGGTTGTCTAGCTTCTTGCTTTCTAAGGTCTTATTTCAAGCCAAGAAAACTGGCTTCTTTTATCCTGTTGATTGACTTTTTCTGAAAAATTCACAGCTATCATGTGGGCTGCATGTTGCAACTGGTTTTGCCTGAATGGACAGCCTGAAGATATGCCACACTGCCCGCAGCCAGGAACTCGAGCATACTCCAATGCTGGCTACAGCTCCTTCCCATCTCCCACAGCTTCAGAGCAGAGTTGCAAAGCCTGTGGAGTGCATTTCAGCAGCTCCTTCCTTAAGGTGAGTGATGGGAACCTTTGGGACTAGTTATTGGAAGAAGGCCTCGTTTCAGCCTTATTTTAGTATATGTAGCACTCAGTATTCACATGATTTAAAACCCTTACATCAGATTGTGGAACAGATCAAGCTGCAGAGTAGAAAAGTTGGCAGCTTCTTTTTAAAAGAAAAGTTTGAGCTGCATCTAATAAGATTTAAAGATTAAATCAGAGATTTGGGACCCCCAAATTGCAATCTGAGTTGATCATGCTATTTGGCACTGATGGGAATAGTTCACAAGGGTAGAGGACCCAATTCCTACTGTTGCTTTTAATATTGGTACGTGTAGTTTCTTGGAAGTTAAAAGCATAAAATCCTAGAATTAAAAATCATTGCAGAGAACATCTAGTTCATGCCCCTGCCCAGTGCAAGAACTGCCAAAATATTTTGGGCAGATGATTATCTAGCATCTGTTTGAAGGCTTCCAATGAGAGAAAACATAAATTACCATATACCCTGTTCCACTGGTTGATAGCTCTCACTCAGAAAATTCTTCCCAATATCTAAATTTACTTCATGCACTTTCCAGAGACATACCACCCTTAGTCAGAACAGTAGCCACGCTTAGCCATTGAGTAGTGCAGACAGACTAGAGTGAAAACTAAATCTGACTTAATTTATATTGAACACTAAATTAAATATTGTCAGTAATTTGATTGACTGATAATGTGCCATCAAGTCATTTTTTGATTCCTAGCAACCACAGGGATAGAGCTACTCCATGACAATCTATGCCTAATCTGTTTTTTCAAGTCTCCCAATGGTACACTCCTTGTCACTTAATTGAGTCCATCCACCTTCCTGCTGCTTATCCTCTTCTCTCTTCTTCTCTTTCCTTCTACCTTTCATTTTTAGATTACAGCTTTTATCTTATTTTATCTCTAGGGAAACAGGCAATACTGATAAAAGTTGAAATACAAACAACATAGAGGGCTCTTAGATTGCCTATTCCTCTTGATGGGTCATTGTTAATCTATATTACAGTAGAGGCGTATATCATAGTAAATAAGCACTACTACTTCAAAACACAAACAAGATGTATTGTGATCTTCCAAAGGGAGCCAAAGCCAGATAAATTCTGCAAACCTCTGCATTCTATGTATTTATGCACCCTCACTTCCAAAATATAATGAGCATTTTGTCATAACTTCTGGTTATTAAATTTATTTGCTGTCCATTTCGTGAAATGAGGCGAGTCTGAGCTGAGCTATAATTGAGACAAACTAATTTTGTGTCTGAGAAGAAAAGTATGAGGGCTCCCCTGTTGCTGTTGTGAGGTAAGGCCTACAGCAGCAATGGTTCTCAAACATTTTATCTTGGGACACCTTTACATTCTTAAGAATGATTGAGGACCCAAAGAGCTTTGCTTTATATGGGTTATATCTATCAATATCGACTAGTTAAGAAATAAAAAATGGGAAATACTAAAAACATTTATTTGATATCACAGACCCCTGAAAGGGTCTTGAGGTCTCCCAGGTGTCCCCCACATTTTGAGAACCACTGATCTCCAGAAGTGTTTCTCAAATTTGGCAACTTTAAAATGCACAGCTGGGGAATTCTGGGATTTGAAATCTTAAATTGCAAAGATTGGGAAATATTAGTCTACAGGGTGAATTACAAGCCCAGTTGATACTTTGTCCTTCCGTCTGCAGGCTTTTGTAACAAAATGTTCCTATGCTTTGCTGATCAAATTTGTCTCCTGCTTTATGAACTTATGGGCAGACAGTCCTTTCTTTGGAAAATGACACTAATCTAGAACTCAAATGATGTTGGTAGATTGCTTTGAAAGGGTGAAAGAATTTTGCTGTAGTTCCATCTCCTTAGGTGAGAGTACTCCTTAGCAAGAGTATTGTCCATAAAAATACATCTAGAAGTTGAGTAATAGAATAACCTCAGGCACTTATTTTTTTATTGCCTTGATTTCCCTAAAGGCAAAGGCAAAAGCTGGATTTTCTAGCTGTCCTTGACTTGTGTACTAAATTCTTATGCATCTGACCACTCCAGAACCGCCAGGGTCCAGTGGAACAAGACATAATCCACATTCTTCTCCCAAGAGATATGTATTTCAACTGTTTTCTCATCTCTTCTGGGAAGTCCTTCCAAGAAGTGGCAAAAATCCAAGTTTTTAGTTTCTCAGCAAAAGTCTCTGACCTGCTGCATGTTCCCAGACAACACATGGTGAGCAAAAGGGGGAGGTGGATATCTGAATGGGCATATGACCTTTTGATTATTCCACTCCCCCCAAAAAAGAATTGGGACTGACTTCAGCAGCTGATAGCATTTGACATTTGCCAGGAGTCCCAGTACCTTATTACAACCTCTTGTTCGTTGCTTGGATTTATGGTGTGCTGTTTGTTCAGCACCTCAAGCACTCCTTTCTCCATTTTCTTCATCCCAACCCTAAGTAGATTGGTTTGAGAGGGAGTGATTGCCTCATGGTCACTTAGTGAATCTCTGTAGCTATGAACTTTTGGGCTTCCCTGGTGCCAATACAATATCTTAACCACTATGCCCCATAGCATCTCTCGTTTGCTGTTCTAGATGGTATCAGGCCAGCTAGATGTTGATGCTGCCACCAAGATCACAGGAACTGCCATAAATAAATTACTTGGATTAAATAGGCTGTTGATATGATTCAGTTGGGCTCCTACAGTCACCATTTAAATTTCCTGCAGCTATACTAATCTACTGTTGCTTAAGTTTCTGCAGAAATTTAGAGGAAGAGCTAAACCTTTTAGTGCTGTTTGAAATGTTGCCATTATACGGAGACAAGCCCCACTAATGCGGTCCTCAATGGAACCACATCTACATGGAGGGAAGTGTGTAGTGGGGTGCCCAGGGTTCTGTTCTGGGCCCAGTGCTCTTCAACATCTTCATCAACGATTTGGACGAGGGGATAGATGGGGAAATCATCAAATTTGCAGAGGACACCAAACTGGCAGAAATAGCCAACACTCCAGAAGACAGGCCTAAGATACAGGAGGATCTGGACAGACTTGAACATTGAGCACTATCTAACAAAATGAAATTTAATGGTGAAAAAAGTAAGGTTCTACATTTAGGCAAGAAAAATCAAATGTACAGATATAGTATAGGTGGTACCTTGCTCAATAGTAGTAACTGTGAGAGGGACCTTGGAGTCCTAGTGGACAATCACTTAAATATGAGCCAGCAGTGTGCTGCAGCTGCCAAAAAGGCCAACACAATGCTAGGCTGCATTAACGGGGATAGAATCAAGATCACGTGAAGTATTAATACCACTTTACAATGCCTTGGTAAGGCCAGAATACTGCATCCAGTTTTGGGCAGCATGATGTAAAAAAAAAATGTTGAGACTCTAGAAAGAGTTCAGAGAAGAGCAACAAAGATGATTAGGGGACTGGAGGCTAAAACATATAAGGAAAGGCTGCTGGAATTGGGTATGTCTAGTTTAATGAAGAGAAGGGCGAGGGGAGACAGGATAGCAGTGTTCCAGTATCTCAGGGGCTGCCATAAAGAAGCAATTTTCCAAGGCGCCTGAAGACAGGACAAGAAGCAACGGATGGAAACTAATCAAGGAGAGAAGCAACCTAGAACTAAGGAGAAACTTCCTGAGAGTTAGAATAATTAACCAGTGGAACAACCTGCCTCCAGAAGTGGTGAATGCTCCAACACTGGAAGTTTTTAAGAAGAGACTGGACAGCCATTTGTCCAAAATGGTATAGGGTTTCCTGCCTGAGCAAGGGATTGGACTAGGTGACCTCCAAGGTCCCTTCCAACTTTATTATTATTGTTGTTGTTGTTCCACCAGAAGACACCATGCAAATAAAAACTGATGCTTTTCCAGTTAGTGCTTTTGATGGTCTACAATAGAGTAATTAGAAAATGGTTTTTCTAATAATCTAAGAGTTGATTGTTTCTTCATATATTGTAAGAGCTTATTCCTCAAAATGTGATCAGGGCAAAATTGTGAATCCTTTGACTGATTATATGTAGTCCTTAACTTAACGACCACAACTGGGATCACAATTTCTGTTGCTAAGCAAGGCAGTTGTTAAGTGAGTTATGGCAAATTTTACAACCTTTTTGTCACGATTGTTAAGCTGATTACTGCATTTGTAAGTGAATCACATAGTCATTAAGCAAATCTGACTTTTCCCATTGATTTTGCTTGTCACAAGGCAGCTGGGAAGGTCTCAAATGTTGCTCACATGATCCTAGGATAAGGGTGTCAAACTCACAATGTCACGTGACGTGTTGTGACATATCACGACTTTTTCTCCATTGCCAGAACTGGGGTGGGCGCGGTTTCGGTATGACGCATCCTGCCTGTGGGCGGGCAGTTTGACACTCCGTCCTAGGACATTACAACTGTCATAAATACATGCCAGTTGTCAAGGACCCAAATTTTGATCATGTGACTGTGGGGATGTTTAACAGTTGTAAGACCAGATCTCCCAATGATGAATTAATTGTGAATTAATCAAGGTTTTAAACTAGATTGATCAAATAATAGATCTATGTTTGCTTGTATAAAGTCCAAGGAAATCATAAAAGTTGATCCATTTTAGATTTGACTCTATGTTCACATGTTATATTTGTCAGTGACATTAACATTAACAGTCAGTTTTTTATGCATGACTCATATCCTGGTCAGTAACTCCAAAAGTGCTATGAACTTAAATTTAGATTTGGCCTGCTTTAATGAACAGAAGAAGTTTGGACCTACTGAAAAAGATTGGGACTGGAACAACTCTGGAGGAGTTAAACTTGCAGTAAGCAAGACTGAATTATAAGTGTACTGTAGTTTGCAACTGACTTGCTTATTTCCTTATATTAATTGTGTAAAGCCAAGATCTGAAATGGAATTTCCCCTCTTAGCAGCTTGTTTTTCAAAATTTGCTTCAGTTTGCAAAGGTTAACAGAAGGGACAATGTTTTCTTCTTGACATGAACTTTTAATTTTCAAACGCTTCCCTGGGAGAGAAGTTTTAAATCTTCACTGCATTTAATTCAGAAGCCACATGTTTACTCTAGGGAATGCCTACTCTACACTCTAGGTTTGAATAGGCTTAAAGCAGTTTTTTCAAACTTGGCAACATTATGTTATTTATTTATTTATTTTATGAGACTTATATACCGCTTTAAGTGCAAGCACTCTCTAAGCGGTGTACACCAGTAAGCAATGTATATATATATATATTACATTGCCCCCAACAATCTGGGTCCTCATTTTACCTACTTCGGAAGGATGGAAGGCTGAGTCAACCTTGAGCCGGTGAGATTTGAACCGCTGACCTGCTGAACACAGTCAGCTAAAGTGGCCTGCAGTACTGCACTCTAACTGCTGCGCCACCTCGGCTCTGAATTCCCAGAATTATCCTGTTGCAGAATAATTCTGGGAATTCAGCCCATAAGACCCTGATCTGGGGTAATAATACGTATGTATTATCAATAGGATACTATAATTAAATTGGATTAATACTGCCATGGCATATGCCTTGAGTGGAAGAATGGGCTTTGAAATGGCACATAGAGTCAAAGTCCACACATCTTAAAGTTGCCAAGTTTGAAAAATACTATTTTAAAGCGTTACTTTTAGCTCTAAATTATGGATTATTTAAGGTGAGTTCAGTGTAAAAGTGTGTAAAGTTATGCCATTGGTCATTAGTTGTGGCATAGTTATAATTTAACATAAGGTGAGTTGAGAGGATATATGAACAAAGCCTGTGTACTTTCTGTATCTTGGGTTTAGGAAATCATAACAGGTTCCAGTTGATCTATTTTAATTTTGTAAAAGTTTTCATATGTGACAGAAAGCAAAAAAATAAAAGAGAGAGAAATATAACTCTTTCCTCCTTTTAGACAAGTCCGGATGTGTTGCAAATCTCTAGAGGAGGCATTTCCCCCTTTGTTTATCTTCCACTTATATTGATGCATCTACATAGCAGGTCTTGGCCATAATGATAGCAAATACCAGAAGGAAATCATTCACTCTGATGACAGATTTATCTTTATTTATCAGATCTAATTTATTCAGAAGGGATGATAATAGGGATTAATATGGCTGTGAACATAATTTAATGAGATTAAATTAATTTTGACTCCTCTGGAGCAAAGATTATGCATGACTTGAGTCCTGTTTGAACTGACAAGGAACACAATTTTCTCATTTGCATGAGAAGAGGTTCAAGCAGAAAGGCGTTGCTTTGCTAGTTCTTTAATCAAAACACTGAACCCTGATGGGTTGCTCAGGAAAAAAGTGGGATAACAACACTTCCTTTAGTTAATTTCCCATGTTCTTAAATTGGGAAACACTTGACCCAAAGTGACCAGAACTTTCCTGTCCTGGGAATGACATAATTACCCTAAGGTTTTCAGGCTATGTTTGTTTTGGAAGATTTTTTTTATTATTTGTTAAACTTATTTACTGCCTATCTCACTATGGGGCTACTCTAGGCAGTTTACAACAAAAAAACTGAGAAATGAAAAGAAATGTAAATATGGGTTCCGGTTCGCAGCGTCACTAGTCGCACGAGGAGACTCCTTTCCTCATCGACTAGGTTTCCCTTCGTCGGTGGACCCTTATATGGGTCCAAAGTCGCCCTGGAGGGTGCGACTTCTGTCAAGGAGGCTGCGGTCCGGCTGCGGAGGAGCGGCGGCTCCTCCAGCTGTCCGGATGAATCTCTGAGGGCCGACACAGAAGAAGATCAGCCATGAAAATGGCCGATCGCCCTGCTGCTTCAGACCGTAAGTCAGAGAGCATCTAAGCCAATGGTTCTCAACCCTCTTCAGCAATTTAGAGAACCAGAAGAAGCAAAGACTAAGACTTCAAAATATAAAGCAACTATATCGCAAAGAGAACAGAAAAAGACGTTTACTGCAGAGGGAAGATATTTATATTTTCTCAAAGACTACTACAAGCAATAAGAACTGATCTGTTGGTTGAAAGAAAAAAAAGACATTTACTGCAGAGAAAGGGACGTACATTTGCTCAAAGATTATTACAAGCATTGAGAATGGACTTATTGGTTGAAAGGGAAGCGTTTTTATGGAAGCCTGTGTGGCATAGGAAGAAACCCAGAATTAGATTGAAAAACAAATTTAAAAATCTTTAATGGAGTAAAAGGCAATGCTGACTTCATGGATTGTTTTAAGGATAATGATTTAGAACGGAAAAATGCAATTATATACATGTGTGTTTAAATTAGTAAAAACTGTTTAATGGATTAAAAGGCAATGTTGGTTCTATGGATTGTTTTAAGGATAATGATTTAGATTTAGAAGTAAGAAATCTACAATTATATTTATGTGTGTTTAATTTAGTTTGATGACTTTTTTGTTTTATGGAAATTTGATATGGAAATATGAAAGTTAAATGTGGAGTGAAAAAAGAATCTTGGCTTTATAGAGACTAAGAATGCATTCCTTGGAATAATAGATTGATTTAGACTGGAATTTTGAAATGCTTAATTAATTAGAAGATTTTTGTGTATAATAATACGTCTTGATATGGTATGATAATTAATTGGATGGAATTTGGTTTCTTTAATGAATGGAAATGAATTAAGTCAAAGACTACTATAAGTGACAAAAATGGACTTATTGGCTGAAAGGTTAAGGATAATGATTTAGATTTAGAAGTAAGAAAACTATAACTATATACATGTGTAATGTTTAATTACTTAAGAGATGTTTGTGTATAATAATATGATTTGATAAGATATGATAATGTTTTTTTTAACTAAACTAGTTATTATTGGAAGAAGAAATAAATAAGATTGGTGATAAAAAAGGGATGAGAGGGATTAAGAACTTGAATATATTTGCAAGAGGTATTTGAAGTGATAATATGTTAATGTAAAACACTATCTGATTATGGTAATTGAAATTGATTTAAAGTTTTAATAAACAGGTTTAGTAGTAATAGAAATTTAGGATAGAAATGAAATATATTGAATTTACTATGTTATTTGAGGGAAATAGAGAGATGATAGCGAATGTATTAAGTTGAGCTATTATTGTGTGATTTTATGTTGGAATCTTTGTTTATCCAAACATCACAGTGTGTCTTAAACACTTTTTGTTAAAACTATAAAACCAATAAAATATTTTTTTTAAAAAAGAAAAGAAGTGTAAACATAACAGTAGCAAAGTAATGGAACAATGAAAAAAAAACAATGAGAACATAGCTAGATGAGGAAAAAAGATGGCGGGAGGGGGCAGGTGGGGTCTGCTATCAATCTAGTAGCCACCTTCAGTGATATTTTCCCCATTTGGGTCCCCAGTGGAGATTTTTTTTTTATTGAAAATGCTTTTATGGATCTAGGGCAGGGATATCAAACTGCTGGCCCACGGGCCGGTTGCATCATATGGAGACCATTCCCCCCCCCACCTCCCCAGGTCCAGCAATGCAAAAACCATCATGATACGTTGTGATGTCACATGACCTGGCGAGTTTCTCACCTATGATCTAGGGCAGGGGTTCTCAACCTTGGCAACTTTAAGACTTGTGGACTTCAACTCCTAGAATTCCTCAGCCAGCAGTGGCTGAGGAATTCTAGGAGTTGAGGTCCACAAGTCTTAAAATTGCCAAGGTTGGGAACCCCTGATCTAGGGGAACAATACTTTTTGATTGCTTTGTGCTCCTGATGAATCAAGTGCTTAATGCAGAGCCTCTACCAAAATTTACATTTTGTTTCAGGAAAAACACAGTGACTATACCCATGACACTCTCTGGCACAGCTTTGCACTAGAACTAAAGCCCACACTTTGGCAGTTGAAAAATTTGCAAGTGTTCAAATTTGACGAAGAGTTCTAGACTGCATGAAACTTTTGCATAGTCATTATGATCACCCTTGAACCTGTTTACATTAGGCACTGAGTGGAAAGTTATAATAGCCATGTGCCCTGTACATTATGTGAGGTAGAGCACGGGTCTCCACACTTGGCAACTTGAAGACTTGTGGACTTCAATTTCCAGCATGGCTGGCTGAGGAATTCTGGAAATTGAAGCCCACAAGTCTTAAAGTTGCCAAATTCGGAGACTTCTGAAGTGGAGGATGGGCCAGTAGTAGAATAAACACCTGAGGAAGGAGTTTAATGGAAGGCAGGCAACAAGATATCAGAAAGAGTAGCTGGAGAGAATTGATGCAAAATAGCAGGAATGTGCCTTAGAAATTTAATGAGTTATAATAATTAAATAAAAATAACATTACATAAAATAACAAAAATAAGAGAGGATAAGTAATATTGTCAAGCTCCCAAAGTATCCTTGAGAAGAGGGTCATCATGGCAAGCGTGGACACTTTTATGGACGCAGCAAGTTTGTTTGCTGTTGTAAAAAAATCAGTAATGGAATCTCACGCATTAACTGAATTCCAACCCATATATAGTGATAAATATATCTCAGTAAATAGCCTGCCAATTTGTTTTTTCAGTGTAAGTGTTCCATTGCTGTTTCTGCCTCATCACTGGTCTTCTGTCTATTGCCCTGCTGTGCTGACCCATGCCTCTTCCTTTTGCCTTTTCTTTATGTTCTCTCTCCTCATTCTTCTGCTTGCCCTTCAAGCTGTAACCAATAGAATTTTGAGAGCTATGGTTTGAGCAGAGTTTATTCCACTTTTGATTTAGCTGTGCATTTCTGCAGTGGATCTAATATTGGCATTCGGTTCTGAGATGCTAAATATTCCATAAAGATACATTTTCAGATAGCAGCAATAACTGATGTTTATTGACTAACAGAGTAGCTAGACTGGAAAATTGAGCAGGCCTCCCCGCACCTTTCTTGCTTCACAGAAGGTGGTGCTGTGAAACTGGCTTCTCATGACTTAAATCATGCCAAACCAGAATGTGGGAATCTGATGTTTTTCTCTGGGGATTGATGGGAAGATGGTTAGTGTGCCTGCATGTTTCTGACGATTCACAGGCCACATGCCCTCGATGTTCACATGGATAGTGTCCTGAGAGAATGCAAACAAGTATTCTGTGCTGTGGTTTTTCTGCTCAAAAGTCCCCTGATGTTCTTTCTCCTTTTCCCCCTTCTGAGCAGCGTGTCTGCCTGGACTGCAAAAAGAACTTCTGCCCTTCCTGTTCACACCAGCCTGAGAGTGGTCCCTGCCTCTGCCACCTCTGTGAGCGATTCCGAGCTACAGCTTTTCAGCGGGAAGAACTCATCAAAATGAAAGTGAAGGACTTGCGAGATTATCTGGAACTCCGGGAGATCTCCACGGAGATGTGCCGTGAAAAAGATGAGTTGGTGTACTTGATCATCAGTCAGCAGCCCTTGGATCCACAAAGGGAGAGGGGGGCCTGGGTTCCTCCCCCAGCACCAGTTTCTATTGCCCAGGAGGAGTGTACAACTGTGCCAGTTTCACTGGATTATTCTCCTGAGCAAATTTCCACCAACCCTGCCTTGCAGACTGAGGAGCCTCCACAGGTACGGATGCTTCTGCTACCCTGGTCCAGGTACCAGGGTACTTATTTAGATGCCTTGGCACAAAGTCCGGTTGGCTGCTGTTGTCCAATGTGAAGATGTTGCTTGAATATGGAGTTTGGAAAAAAAAAGCTCATATAATATAGTGGGAGAGGAAAATAGATAGTGGAACGTGTACTTTGTGTGCAGAACCCCCAAGTTCAGGCTCCTGCCATCTTCATTTAAAAGAAGAGTAATTTATAAGAGACATTTGCTGTAACCCTGGAATATGTTAGTGCAGTGTTTCCCAAACTTGACAATTTTAAGGCATGAGGATTTCAACTCCCAGAATTCCACAGCCAGCAACGTTGGCTGTGGAATTCTGGGAGTTGAAGTCCACATGCCTTAAAATTGTCAAGTTTGGGAAACACTGTGTTAGTGTTTTAAATTTTGAAATGCTCTTAAAATAGGTTGGGTCAGGGTCTTCAATTTAGTCAAGTTTCTCTGATCCCAGTTGGCTTAGCCACTCCCTCCCTCCTGTTCTTAGAGCTGAGAGACTGGGAAAGGGTCTGTTGTGCCTACTTTTCATTTTAAAAGAATTAGTAATAACAGGAATATGGGAAGCCTAGCACTTCGCTATTTGGTGGATTCTATCTCCCCCACCCCTTCCTGTTCTTGATTATACTTCCTAAGATTTTTTACACTTCTAAGAGAAAATAATGCAAAATCATCCCCCATCCTGGGGTTTTAGAAGCTTATGAAGAAACTATGTTTCTGCCCAGTGTTTAGTCTTGACGGATATATTTGTGTTTGTATCATTTGCACAAAATTACTTCTCCCCTGCCCCATAAAATATCTGTCCAGTTTTTATGGATTTGTTATTATGAAGACCCATTGCCAATAGAAGGGGAGAGGCTTGCACTGAACTTGGAGCTTCCCTACAGAAGTCATTTAACTTCCCTTTTACTTTTCCAGAAAGTAGATTACATAAAAGTTAATCTTCCTACACCAAATGCAGGAAGGCAATTACAGCCTTTATGATTAAAGATGTCCTCCTCCATTTGCTCAGATGATGACAAAGTCTCTCACATTCTACAACTCCTCCCATCCTCCCAATTTTTGTTAATACGAGTTTCTTCTGTTCTAACCTTGCTTGACTTCATGGCAGCTTTTCTGTGGCTTGAACACACTCGTGGCTGGATGCTTTCAGTTAGGGAATCCTAAATAGATAAGTCTTCATTCTTTTCAGATCTTGGTGTGGAAAATGCATGGCCACCTTCCAGAGAGAGGGCATATGTGGGGCTTTGGTATTGTGTCATAAAAATGCCTTGCATTCTCCATGATGTCACATTGTGTCACAATGGAAGGCAGCAGAGCAGAGCCAGCCTTCATAGCACGTCTCTTGCTAGCTCCCTATAGCTCCATCATGACTGTCCTGGCTCTGCTTCCTTGGAGATACCACCCAAGGACTTTCCTACGTGAGCCAAGGCAGTCCTAACAGGGCTTAGCCAACAACAAGGTGAGGATCTCAACCTAAAGCAAAATTCCTCGTCCAATTTTGAAGTATTGATGATGGTCTGGCTTCTCACCATTGGCTGCACATTTTCTTGGGCTCTTGATGATCCCTTGAGTGAGCAAGTAAAGGCCAGCTGAAGGGAAGCCTCTCCCCAGCCCCCTCCCCAAACGTTCTGAACAGTTACACTTTTCCTTCTTAGGCAAATGGGCACGTGCTGCCGAGCCAGGACGATATGGCAGAAGTTGAGAATGCAGTGCAAAACCTGCCTGAGGAAGAGACACAGGTAAGGGAAGGTCACTACCTGCTTTTCAGGGATTAGAGGCTGAAAAGGGGAAGGCTGTATCTTGCAATGGCTGATACAGTCTGAGTCAGCATTTGGTGCTAACAGTGGTATCAGAAATGGATGAAGTCCTTTATGTGCTGAGAATGCTATGGAAATAACTACGTGCTTTGAAATGAAAAGACGTGCATTTCTGTAATGGATTTGGACTGGAAGACCGATAAAAGGGAATATTTGTACCTCAGGGTTGAACTGTGGGGTCCTTGGTGCTCTCTGAGCTTGGTTGCTTTCTTGAAAACATTTCATTACCGAATTAGGTAACAACATCAGTGCCAGCATGGAGCTGGAGGAGGTGAGATCTGCTCTGACCATAAGATTCTTTTATGTGGCTTAAAAAAACCCTAAGCAGCTTAATTCTGCAGTCTTCCTCCCCATTTGCTGAACCCCCCCAAATGGAGCATATTCTCTGCTGCTCTGATTTCAAAATGTCAGGTGAGATGTATGTCTGTTTACAGACACAGATCTTTGTATAAATTGTACTTTTTTAGACAGTACTGACCCTCAAAGCAAGTAAAATTTTACCATGTGATAGAATAACATGGGATTTTGTGTTATTGATTTATTTATCAATTTCTAGGCCACTCAACTCTAAAATGACTTTGGGGGATGGGACTTCACAAAGTTAAAAGAAACAATATTACAGCATACATAAAACATTAACCATCTGAGGGAACAACAAACCATCCTTGTAGTCCATCCCTCCCTCCCCCCAACCCCTGCTTAAAGGCACAAAAATTATGTTGCTAAGTCAAACATTTGTTAAGTGAGTTTTATGACCTTTCTTGCCACAGTTGTTATGTGAATCATTATAGTTGTTAATTTAGTAACATGGTTGTTAAATGAATCCGGCTTCCCCATTGACTTTGCTTGTCAGAAGGTTGCAAAAGGGGATCACATGACCCTGGGACACTGCAACCGTCATAAATATGAGTCAGTTGCCGAGCATCTGAATTTTGATCATGTGACAATGGAGATGCTGCAATGATTATGTGAAAAATGGTCATAAGTCACTTTTTTCAGTGCTGTTGTAACTTTGAACAGTCACTAAATGAACTGTTGTAAGTTGAGGACTATCTGCATTGGAGTTGCTGATTTTGTTGGGACATACAAGCTTGGATGTCCTTGTGGGAAATGGGGCAAGCCCTCATTTGTGGCTATTGAGCACAATGAAGAAGTTGTTATTATGGCTTACTGTTGTAGCTTTATTATTTTTTTTGTCTTATAGCTTTTAATTTTTTTTTAAATTCAGAAAGTTGTGTTTAACTTTGGTCTTGGTTGCTTGATTTCCTTCCTGCTGTGAATGTTTTATTTCTTCTATTTCAGTCCACTGATTCAGAAGATAACCTAGTTACGGGACGGAGGGCATCCCTCTCTGACCTAACAAGTGTGAGAGATATTGATGCCCTCTCAGTAAGGCAGTTGAAAGAAATCCTGGCTCGCAACTTTGTTAACTACAAGGGCTGTTGTGAGAAATGGGAGCTAATGGAGAGGGTGACCCGCCTTTACAAAGAGAAGGACCTCCAGCAGTTGGGTATGAAATTCCTCTCTCCATTGTTTTTAATTTGTATATATTAATGACAATTACATGGGATTATTTGGAGTTTAAAATTACAGCGGGCCTATGGAGGAAGCAGTTCCTTTTGGTTGATTTGTGTTCATTGATATGGAGAGAGCATTGACACTAGAACAGATCAATAGCTGTGTTTATACAACATGCTTAACCAGGTCAAGTAATCTGGCAGATGCTTTTGTACGTATGCTAGATTTAAATCTGATAAGCTTGGTTAATATTAACCTTCAACAGGTGTTCACGGCATAAAACTCCTGCTTTTGTATTTAACAATAATTTAAATATAGTGGAAAATCAGAAAAAGAATTAATTTCATTGTTCAGGTTGAGGCTCTGGAATGAATGCAACCAGTGCTTCTTTGGGCTCTTGCAATATTTTACTCTGTTGCCTCTTAACCAAACAGAATGTTAATGGTTTATTTTTTCTTTGACTATCACAAATGCAATAATAAACTGTGTTCTCCTTCTCTCATGTAATGCATCTTTTATCTTTTATCCAATCCCTTAAAAAATGGAAAGTTAGAAAGCAGGATAATAGTTGGAAAATAGGATGGTGGTCCATTAATTTACCTTGCATTCTATGGCAAACATCTCAAGCTTACACTTTTTTTTCTTTTCTTATTCAGTTTCAGATACTGATGATCAAACTGGTAAGCATGTTCTTTTTTGTCTTCTCAACATTGTATGGCTGCAACTATTTAAACAAGAAAAATTACCGTCTTTCAGGAAAATTGGTAGTCTCAAATCGATGTAATTTGGTTTTTTTATTTGAGCCAATAAATGTATGTACTGTATGCTTTTGTGTTTGTGCTGCTACCAAACACACACACACACACACACACACACACACACACACACACAATCACACACAATGTCATCATGTAAATGCATTTTATGTACACTAATATTGTGTACTTTCGTGTTAGGGGAATGTAAAACCATAGACAAAGTTTTTCATGAAAGTTCCAGGAATTACTTTAGACATGCAACTTTTTCTCTGCATATGGAGTGGTTCAAAATTATAGGACAAATGCACAGGGATTAGTATAATAGCATTTTAGGCAGGAGAGAAAACAAATGCATGGTGCACCTAGCACTACTGAATTAATTCATTTTCTGAGTTCACATGGTGCATTGAACCATAGATTAACAGGCTGGTTTTCTACAGCATAGTAAGCTTCAAAAAATCCAACTGTATGAACTGTAGATCAATGGAGAAGATTGCCAAATGAAGTAATGAGTTCTCTTGTGCTAGAGGTTATCAAAGAGAGGCTGAAGGATCATCTGTCAGGAATGCAGAGGTTTGAACTAGACTTCCATTGTACATGATTTTATGAACTTTATCAAAATCAACTCTAATGGAGCTTACCATGCTACCTGAGTTCATCTACAGTAAACATGGTTAAGCATGTCTTATATACTCAGCCCACATGCTTCCCAGTTTCCTCGGTATATGGCCTATATTCAAGAACCGTGCCATAGTCTTGAAACTGTTGCAGAAATGTGGAGAAGGTCACAAGTGTGGCAGCTTTTTTTTGTTTTTTAAAAAAGAGAAATACATGGAAAAGGAGAGGCATTGTGTATCTATTTATCATACAGATGCCTACCTACCTTACCCACCTTTGGTCTTAAGGGGAAAAGACATGCTGAGGAGCAGGAGAAGATAACTGGAAAATAAAGAAAGCCGACAGAAACTTCTGAGCTGGTAGCATGCAATCTTTCCTAAAGCAGTAGGTAGAGACACACTATGGCACCACAAGCAGGCTACACTTTATTACCTTGATTTTTGATGTTTTAAGTGAATTAAACCCAGTCACTCCTTATTTATTTTGCTTCCTGACAGAATTTTTGTCTCCCATGCTAAAAAAAACTCTTTTCTTGTTGTTCTAGCTCCAACTGGCAATGCGACACTCCCCGGTTCTGAAGAAAATCTCTGCAAAATCTGTATGGACTCCATCATTGACTGTGTCCTGTTGGAGTGTGGCCACATGGTGACTTGCACAAAGTGTGGGAAACGTATGAATGAGTGTCCCATCTGCCGGCAATATGTGATAAGAGCTGTCCACGTTTTCAGGACTTAAGAGCACAGGAAACAGGACTAATATTCTTCCACTGTGACAGAGAGCACCAGTCCCAGCAACCTAGTCCCCATTCTTAAGAAGCCCACAGATGATAGGTGAGATGAAGGATGGAGGGCTGTGAAGACTTGGGCTGTGATTGGCTGCATACCCCGACTAATACTGTGCATTATACCACAGTGCCTGGAGAGCTGGACATCCTCAGTAGATCTAGAAAGCAACATGCCTTTTCTTTCTTTGTCTTCTTTTGACAGGGCATAAAGAAACTCTTGATGTTTCCAAGACATTGAGGCTCTTCCCCTCTGGAGTAAATAAACAAGGTGATCTAAAGAGGAAGAGAGATTTGCTTCTCTCAATTCTCCTTTCTCTTTGACTAAATCCTTGAAGGGGAGAGTATATATTCCTTTTTTTGGGGGGGGGGATACATATATTTTTTTTAAAAAAACTTTAGCTAGCCTTGCGGGTCAGGCTGAAAGTTGTCTCTTCTATTGCCTTGGATTCTTGTACAGAGTAAATCTGTGTCCGACCACAGTGGTCAGGGTGATATATTTACAGATGAATAGGGCTGTAGGCGAGGAGAGGATATACAATGATGAAGATAAAGTTTTGCCAGATTTGTAGTGAATGAGTATCTCAGGGATACTTTGTGTTTTTGTTTGTTTATAATTTTGTCATGATCAAAATGCGATGGCCTTTAAGAAAATTAAGTTGCATTATAATTGATTTGTTTTGTATTATCATTGGGGAAAACCCCTACATTTGTTCTGGATTTTGCTTATGGAGTTAGCATTTGGGACAATAAGGAGGAACCAGTTGTGTTTTTAAAGGCCATTGTCAGATCATAAACTACACTAGGGCTTATCCTTGGCAAAGGTTCCTCTTCATTTCATTCTTTTGTTAGCATTTGTTGCCTTTCAGACATAATATTTCATACCAAGATGAACAGATGTCCTGCTTGCTTTCTGTAGAAGTTCAATGACTTGATTTTTTTGAAGTATGTATTTTGCCTTTAAATGCCAAGTATTGGCATTTCATTTGCTTCTGTTGTAAAAAAAATCATCTGTTCTTTAATCACTCAGTGAAACACTGAAGTGAAGATACATGAGGTCAGAATGGGTCTTTTCATTAGCAAAGGAGAGGCTGTTGAAGATAGAGGGTCTTTTGCCATGTTCTTCTGAAACCATTTTTTGGGCGACTACGCAAACGTGTTTAGCTATCAGACTGCAGTTCATGAATTCCCATGAATCTTGGACTGAATCCTACTTTTACAACTGATAAGAGAGGACTGTTTTAGGAAGAACCATGGAAAAAGGTAATCATAATTCTAAAAAAATGGTTTGGAAGAAATCCAGGGGAACTATTTAGTTGTTTACATACTATCTTCTTCCAAGGGCATTTCAGAAAGAGTTTTTCTCTCTGTGTTGTATGAAAGCCTTAAGAAACGTGACACTTTCTTATCAGCTGCTTCCTTCACTATTGTGTCTTAATTCCCACTCCGCCAAAGTGCTTTCTCAAATTCTGGCTGTTTCCCAAATTGCTAAATGCCTTGCAAGTTGAAGATGCCTTAATTTGCCTTAATCCAAGAGTACACAATCTGATTCCTCCAGATGTTTTGTATTGCAATTCTTTTAGCCTTAGCAGCAAGGGAACTGTATTTCAGAACATAGGAAGTGCACTATCCCTGCCTTAAGTTCTGAGATTATGTAAAATAAAAGGAACTTAGGCAGTTTGTTTATAGGTTGCATCGATGGGTAGATAGGTTTTATTGTGTAAAGGTTGCATCACAAATCTTTCCTCCCCTTCTCCTATTGAATTCCACAGGCATTCAAAAGAGTCTGGTTTTTAAGAAATCAGTTTGCACATGCAGCATATATTACCTTATCCTTTGTTATGATTTCCAAAGATCTAGCCTCAGAATTGCACTATTGGACATGGCAATATCCCAAATGCCTGGCACGTTAGCCCTGGTCCTTGTTAACCTGTTCCACCTGATTTTTGGTAAATGCTTTTGATAACAATTTGCAAGATAGAATCCCTACATGTATATCTCCAAGGTCCCTTCCAACTTTACTAATATGAATATGAATATGAATATCTGTATCCTGTGCAACTATTATTTAATTGTGGATAGTAAAACAGCTTTTTTGGGGGGGGGGGCGTTTTGGTGCATTTCTATAAGAACATGGATTGGCTCTATATAAAACCAATGTTGAGAACAATTTGTAACCCATTTCTTGGGGGTGGTGGGTAATAGAGGGAATTTTTTTTCCTGTAGGAAATATTAAAACTTCAGTTAATGTTAGAATTGCTGTTTTGCTCTTAAATTTCATTTTTCCTTCTTCATTTTACATTCCAACAAGGGGCATGTAAATGAATAAAGGAGCATATATAGTTAGTGAACATTGTGAACATCAGTTGTTGATCATGCATAAAAGAAAATTGCTGGTACGGGTAATAGTTGGTGAAGAAGAGGTAGGAACTGTAGAAGGAAAATACCCAAGTCTACTTGTTGTAAAATTCAATGTGAATTGGGGTGGTGACTTGACAAGTTAGACATGGCTGCTCTTCCCAAAGCTTTGGGCTACTCTTATCTTCCCCACTCATGAAAAAAAAAAAAAAGAGTTGGGATGGCAATAGTGTTCCAATAATGGGTAAAACAAGTAACTTGTTTGTTTCTTTCTTGGTATCACTTGTGTAATGAAGTTCCCATTGCCACACTATTTTGATTCAAAATTTGATATTTTCCATGACTGTGATTTGAATTTTGGTGAAGTGAAACATTCTCCATAGTGATGCTGCTTTGTGAGTAACAGACTGCTGCTGCTGCACTAAGCTGTGGAGAATTTCTGTTGTTCTGCCAGAAAAATTAATATAGCAATGTATGCTTGTCTGAACAGTGGGAAAGTTAATTTTGACTGTGAGAAAACTGTGCTTCAACAGGTCTCACTAGCACAGAGTCCTGCTTTATAATTTTATAATAAAATGGAAACATGTTACTAACTTACGCTCCTCTTTTCTTTTTAACAAAATATGTTTCAGGTTTAACATGAGTTACTTGATACTTGGCAAAATATTGTTTAGGCTGATAATGAAAACTAATGAAAACTGGAAACCTATCTTTTTGTCTATGTCTTGATGGCATAACAGTTTGAACCAGAGCCTGTTTTGTTTGCAGTGTAAATGAAACTCCAACGAGCATTCAACCCTTCACTTACCTGTTCTTTCTTTCTTTTGCAATGAGCAATTTAAAATTCCCCTTGGTCATTTTTCTTTCTTGAGGTTATAGTACCATCTCACGCTTGTGACCCCCAATTGAAAAGATAAACCTTGTTTTGAGTTCCATTATTTATCACAGAATGCTCAAAACACTACGGAATGAAATGCTCCATTTTGTCCAAAATTTGGAGGGAAAAAAATCACCAATGTTTAGTTTTTAGTTCAGAAGATTTCACAACTCCTACAAAACATTTCAGTTTTAATTATCAGTGTGTATGACTGGTGGATGTGAATTTTCATGAAAAATGTTAAAGTAATCTGTCCCACTGCTTAAGGGCTCTCAAGTCAGGAAATTCTTCCTTATTTTGAGTTCAGCTCTCCCTCTGAAACCTTCCATTCATTGGTTTTTGTGCTAGCCATGGGAGCTCCAGAGAATAAACCCACACTGTTTCCCCTGAGACAATATTGTATAAGATTGGTATCATGTCTTCCTTTAGTCTTTTCTTCTTTAGGTTGAACATATCCAGTTCCTGTAAACATTCTTCACTGGATTTAGTTTCCAAGACCATTATCTCTGTTGCTTTTCTCTGCACCATTTCAGTTTCTCAGTATCCTTCTTGGATTATGATAGAATTCAGTGCAGTATTTCAAGTGTGGTCTCACCAATGCAGCATCAAGTAGAGTACTCATGTCCAGTGATTGACACTGTACTTCTGAGGATGAAGCCCAAATATGTATTAGCACTTCCAGCAGCTAAACACACTGTGGTTGGCTCTTGTTTAACCTGTTGTCTACCAGGACTCTGAGACCCTTCTCACAGGTACTACTGCTGAACCAGGTACCAGCTATTTTGTACCTATGCATGTGTTTTTCCTAAGTCTAGAACCCTACACAGATAGCCCTCACTTAACCATGCATTCAGTGACCATTTGAAGTTATGATTGTGCCAAACAAATGGTAGCTACAACTAGTCCTCGAAATTAAGACCAGTACGACATCTCTGGAGTTACGTGATCAAAATTCAGCCTCTCGGCAGCCCAGCTGCACTTATGATTGCAATGTATGCTTTGATTCCTTCCATCCACCACCTCCCTCATCTCTGCCCTTTTGGGTGCCCTGCACTCTGCTGCCCCAGCGAGGTGTCACAAAACAGCCAGCAGCTATCTCTGCCAAGCCTGCCACATCAGCAGAGGGAGGAAAAAGACAGTGAAGGTCAGCCGAGGGAGGTGAGGATAGGTAGCAGCAGGGTGCAGGATGGTCAAAAGCCAGAGATGGCAGAGAGATGTGGGGAGTTGAAGGAGAGGTGAGCTTGGTAGGGCAGTAGAGACTCATCTGTAGAATGGAGCTCACTGAACCCAGCTGGGGAAGAGGCAGCAGGATGAAGCCTGGAGTTTGCACATGGCAAGACAAGTGTGAGGTTCTTGCCTAACAAACACAACTGGCACTGCCAGAACTACCATCGCAAAGTGGTGTAGTCACATGCTGTTTCACCTAACAACTGTTTTTTTCAGTGATAGAAATTCTAATTAGGTTCATTAACCAGGGATTATCTACATATCTCGGCACTGAACTGCATTTCGTTGGAAAGGGCTCTATCTTCAAGTCTATCGGTATCCTTATGAACCTTGAACCTGTCTTCTGAGGGTTAGAAATGTCCTCTGGCTTTTGTGTTACCTCAAATTTGATAAGCATCCCTTCTGTCATTTTATCAAATAGTCAGTGGAATAGTCAGTTATGGAAATATTGAGCATTAGACCCAGGACAGAACCCTGAGATACCCCACTGGACACCATATTCCAGATTGACATAGTACTGTTAAAGATCATGTGCCAGGTATGGCAGTTCAACCCTGCAAATCCATCTGGTAATGAAACCTTCCATCCATTAAACATTCTATCAAAAATAAGCAGTGTTTCATTTCAAACAAAACATAACAGACAAATGCATGCTAGTAACTTCTCTAGAAACTTCCAGACACAAAGAAGGATAAAATACAGTCAAGTAGTGAAGGGCTGAGAAATAGAAACGAACTAGACACAAATGGTTATGTAGTGCCAAATTGATCTTTAAAAAGTTATGTACAAAATTTCTGCACAACATTCTGTTATGAAGAACTGATGTATGGCACAACTGAATGATATGTGGAGTCCTTGGTGTTCTCTAAGCTTGATTGTTTTCTTGCAGATGTTTCATCACCCAACTAGATAACATTGGTGCTATCACTGAGTGAAAATTAGGAAAGGGAGGTTCCAGATAAAGTTTTATTCCTATTTTTCATTAAAAAAAACTTAAGACATTTAAAAACTAGTTGGAAATATTTTAAATTGCTTGCTGTAAAGTCAGTTTTTCATTAGGTACTTAATTCATTCCAGATGGTGCTCATTTAATGGAGGCAATTGAGTCTCTAAATCTAATCTTTTTTCCACGGGAGCTATTTGCTTACAACAGATAATCTAGCATGGAGTCACCAGTCTTCTCTTTCGAATGCATTCCCAAATCCACTCAGGGGACACATGCTTAGCAGCTGGGTTGTTTTCCATCCTCTCCATCACATGTGTTGCTGAAGTGGCATCATACTCTTGAACCAGGTCTCCATTATAGGCTACGAAATAACGCTTGAGTTTCCTGAAACCCTCCACGGAAGGAGGAAGATAAAGCTTAACCCCAGTAAATATGTCCAGTAGCAGCTGCTGTTTTGAGGTAGGAAACACACAAGAGGATGATGAATAGTCAATGAGAATTATGTTTTTAAAATGTTTTAATTCAGAAGAAAACAGGGCTGCTGTAACAGCTTTCATTAAGAGAAATGTACTTCAGCATTTAGGGGCTGTGTTTACACAAGATGCTGAACCAGGTCTGTGGAATATTCCACAACATTAGAATTATCTTCGGGCTTTTTTCTCGCTTTGTATGCTGTGGGAACGGAGACTACAAGTAGTCCTTGACTTACGACCAGAATTGAGCTCAAAATTTCTGTTGCTAAACAAGTCAAGTGAGTTTTGTCCCATTTTATGATCTCACTTGCCACAGTTGCTAAGTGAATCACTGCAGTTGCTAATAACAGTTAAGCTAATCTTGACTTTGCTTGTCAGAAGGTCACAAAAGAGGGTCACATGACTCCAGGACATTGCAACTGTTATAGATAAATGCCAGTAGCCAAGCATCTGAATTTTGATCATGTAACCATGGGCATGCTGCAATGGTTCTGTGAAAAACAGTTATAATTCACTTTTTTCCAATGCCAGTGTAACTCCAAATGATTACTAAACGAATGGTTGTAAATTGAGGACTACCCGTATTTGGTTAAATGTTCTGTCTGAGCCCAGAAAATAGCTTATTTTAATGAGGTGATGATATTTATGTGTGAATGCAGTTAATGACAAAATTTAGTTCTGTAGCTACTTGGGAAACAGAATAAAAAAGCAGTGGAATAATTCAAGAACCTTGCTTTACTTCAAGAGAAGCAAGTTCAAGGAAACAGTAAACGAGAATCCAATTTGTAATGCATTGGTGGCCTGTGACAGCCACTAGGGAAAAAAATAAACAGCCCTCACCCTCATCAGATGGAGAACCGCTCTTCTGGCAATAGCAATCAAGGTTCCAAATGTGTTCCCAGGATGCTTGCTAAAATGTGAAATGGTTGCATCCAGTGTCTTTTCTTGCTCTCTTCCCACATCCCAGAGAACGTTTCTATAGGCAGGGGTGAGGAGATACACTCATACAGGAGTGCAAAGCTACCAAAATTCAAATTAATCAGCCAACCGGGTTTTTTGTGCTTTTTTTTTTTTTAAGTGAAAAGCTTTTAAAATTTGTGAATAGGAGTAGAACAGTCCGGTTTACTACAGACATTTAATGGCTAAATCTGATGGTGTTTTGAGAGTGTGTTACTAGGTCTCAAATAGGGCTTGGTGTCCTCACTGCCTTCCTTTGCACAAGAGAGAACTGCTCTGCTAGCTCTCCAATTCAGCTTCTCTGTAAGGAAAATAATAGTTGTGCTGAAGAACTCATTGAGTTAGTTCTGTGATGGCCACAGGGTGCTTGAAAAATTCAACAAAACTCCCTTGCTGAGAGTATTTAGTTCAATATTGTTTTTAACAAGGAGGAAGGAGAAGTAGCTAGAAAGTTTGTTTTTAACAAGGAGGAAGGAGAAGTAGCTAGAAAGCTTTCTGGGAAGCTTTCAGCTCTATTCTCAGTATATCCTCAGTTGGTGATTGGCAACAGATTATCTTTTAAATGAGAAATGCAATTCAGTTACATTAGCCAAATAATGTTGATCAGACAATACTGTCTGACTCTTCTCCAGAACAATTACAATTTCTGTAATGCAGCCTGTATTTCCCCAAGAAATAACTGAAGCTAAAGAGAACTTTGAAAATGCAGATTGACTACTATAGGTCGTCCTCAATTTACAACCATTCGTTCAGCAACTGTTTGAAATTACGATGATACTGAATGGACTTAATGACTTGTACCCAAATTTACAGCCACTGCAGCTCCCTCATGGTGAAAATTCAAATGCTTGGCTATCTGCCCACACTATGATTGCAGGGACGCTGCACCTCTCGTCACCCAGTTATCTCTTTCCCCATTTCACCTGCCCATCTGTGCATGCAAAGCTGCTGCAGTCCTGCTTTCCACCTCATCACTCCCAGGAGGCCCAAGCCTGCTCCCTGCTCACCAGGCCTAGGAGGCCTTGACTGGTCACAATTGGGGGGGGCGGCTAATGTAAGCCCTACCCCAAAAATAAGCCTAGTTTGGGGGCGAGGTGCATGCCTAAAAATCAAGCTAGGGCGGGGTTGGAGCTTACCATTGCAGCCAGACCCCCATGGATTGACACTTGCCTTGCTGGTTCACTTCTTCTGTGGCCCAAGGAGCAGCTTCATTCTGCAGCTGAGAATGGAGCTCGGGCCTGTGTTTTGCTGTCAGAGGCCTTTCCAGAAGGCCTCTGCAGCCGAGAACTGAGCTATGTAGGCCTCTGACGTTGATATGCAGGCCTGAGCTCTATTCTCAGCTGCAGAATGAAGCTGCTCCTTTGGCTGCAGAAGTAGTGGGTGGGGTCGGTGGGGCTGTCAGTGCTGCCGCTGCGAGGTGAGTGGAAAAAAGCCCTCCCCCGGAAAATAAGACCTGGTGCCTCTTTTGGAGGGGAAAAAAAAGACTGGGTCTTATTTTTGAGGAAACATGGTAGGCATCCTGGATCTGGTGGGGAGTAGCCATGATAGGTTTCCACATGCTGGTGGGCCCTGAAGCCTGTGCCAGGCTCCCAGCACCTGATCTAATCCCCTCAGATACCCACATGCTCCTTACCCCAGACTCTACTTACCAACTGAGAAATTGCTTATGACCACGAGTGGGAGTCCCAGGATTGTGGTTATTGAGCAAAGCGGTTACATGTCGTCTGACTTAATGACTGTTTTGCTCAACAACTTGAGATTCTCGTCCCAATTGTGGCAGCAAGTTGAGGACTACCTATAATGTGAAATGCTTGGGAACTGAAACAGGCTCACGTAATAACATTTACTTGGGGTATGAAATTCAGTTCTCCATCCTTACAAAAAGCTTAGAATGTATAGTATAGATGACAAGGAGGTTCACAGAATTTTCAAATTTGTTTACATTGAGATTCTTACCTTTCTTTTGTCCCCCTCCATCTCAGGTGCTTTTCTTTTTTCTGCTCGCTTTCCCTCAGTTTTCTTCAGTGGAGATTTATCTACTAGTTTGCTGGCTAATGAGAAAAAAAATTCTACATCAGTGCTAAGGAGATGGCAAAAAAAAAAAAAGGAACAATGAATGGATTCATGTAAGAAAGATAATCCTGCCTATGCAAATATAGGCAGAGGACATCTTCAGACAGGCTCTGCAGCCATTCCTGCTGACTGACATATTTGAAAATAAAGGTTTTAGTCCTGATTTTATAACTTGCTTCATCGTAAGATTCAAAGTTGGTAACAGGTAATTGTTTCTCAAATGACTGGAATGCTGTACCTTCTAACACTGACCACCAAAATCAACCTGAAGAAAACGTCATCTTTATATTATACCCAAGAGCATTTTGAACATTGGTGGCACAAATCAAAACAGAGCTTGATTCAGTTTCCAATGGAGTAAAGTTGCACACGAGGAGTGAACTGTCATTGTTGAAGACAGGGAACAGCCCAAAAGCATTTTAAAGCTTCCGAAATAGACAACAATAATTAACCTCACAAACATGTACTAAAACAATACCTTTATCATCACTGATTTAACAGATTAGCTAAGTATCTGACAATATAAATAATAGCCATGAAAAACATGTTTAAATTGGACGGAAGGTGTTGCAGTGTTAGGTTTCTGGAGAAAATCACTGTGCACATGGGGTACACAGCAATTATTCTAAAAGTTCTGGTTCTCTCAACCATAATTCTCTCTGAGCTCTCTACAGAACAAGATCTTACTAGAAGAAATCTAACTGGGGGAAAAGTAGAAATGGATCCCTGGAGAATTTTTAATGCCTTTTGTCTACTGCTCACCTTCAGGCTTCTTGGCTTTTGCAGGGGACTTCCTGGAATGCTGTTTTGCTGCCTTCTGAGGAGAAGATAACTTGGGCTGGCCTTCAGTCTCTCCGCTGCTGCCCGCTGTGGAGTTCTCCTCTTCTGCAGCAACTACCAAGAAGTCCGATTTTTCTTTAGATACCTGGTACAGCTCCTGCCCACAAAAGCCAGAGAGTTCCATGAAGTGGGAGAAAAAAACTTTGTAGCAAGTCCTTCTATAACAGGGGTGTCAAACTGCCGGCCCGCGGGCTGGTTTCATACCGGAGCCACGCCCACCCCATTGCTGGCAATGGCGAAAAAGCTCCGATATGTTGCGTGACGTCACGAGTTTGACATCTCTGTTCTATAACTTCTCACTTCTACCTGCAAGGTACAATTCAGATTCTTCTGGAACAAACAGGACAATAGGCAACTGGTAAATTATTCCCAATGAAACATCTGGGTAACAAATGGCACAGAATCCAACTTAATGTGGATGAGAGAAATTGGGTTATCAAAAACATCAATTTGTTGTCTTTTCCTCAGTGTGTACATACTAACTTTTTAATTACCATTGACTGTTTTCTCTGGAAATAGAATTTAGATGCTTTCATTTAAGCCAGCCTCTTCCAGATAGATGGGTTTGAATTATCTTAAGTGAAGGTTGGACAAAAGTTGGTCTACAGGTTCAGATGTGAATCAGATTGATCCACTAACTCTAGATCCCGTTACCCCGTGTTGTCACCCATATCCTTTTCAAAGAATTCACCAGTGCAACCTAAGAGGGTGGAAGTCTTTGCCCTATGAGGAAACCAGAAACCTACCAAGAGATTCATTCCTACATTTCATGGCTAAGAACACTAAACAATGCTCCCTTTCCTGTTCCTTATCCTTAGCATGGCCACTTAAAATGAAAGTATCTTATAACTATATTGACTAAGCAAGAGATTCAGGAGATGGGGATTCTTTTTAAAAAGGTACCCTGAGATAATGGGAGTGGAGAAGTTCTCAATGACTGATGAGAAACAACAGAGGAAAGATGAATTGTGTGCTGGTACATAGCAGACTGACAAAAAGACTGAATGCTAAGATGAAGGAGAAGAACTGGGACACACAAACACACACATATAATGCAGAAATGCTGAGAATTATATTTCACGGATACAGATCTCAGTATGGTATGTTTAGAATATATAGAGTGGCTATATCTGTAAAATAAATGACTCACCCTGAGTTGTGGGAGGGTAGTGGACGTAGTCCAATCTTTGTCATCCCGGATACGAGTACACCGGGGGAAGCGGATTGAGATCCCATCAGCAGTGTGGGCCTCTGCTTTAGAGAATTCAGCACCTGTGATCTCCCAGACGGGTGCTGCCTAAGATAAATGATAACAATTGGGAAAAAAATCCTCCTTGCCAATGAACCAAGACAGGGAGTACTGTATGCAAGCTTCCTGAATAATGTGGAGTTCTTGGTGCTCTCTGAGCTTGATTGTTTACTTGCAGACGTTTCATTACCCACCTAGATAACATCATTGATATTACCTATGTGGATAATGAAATGTTTGCAAGCTCAGAAAACCCCAAGGACTGAACAATTTAATAATAAGCTACATAGATATTTTCTTCTACAGGAGCCATGAGTAATCGTGCTCCATCAATTCCATACACACTTTTATGTTTTTCCATAATTTTAAGAGGAAAGACACAAAACTGAGTGTTTTAGATTGTATGAGATTAAATTTGAACTATCATATTAGATAACGTAGCCAATCAGAAGAATCCATGCAAAGTCCCAAATTAATAACCAAATTAATCCAAGTTATTGATTTGTTTGGCAAAAGACCCTCTTTATGCCATTAAAATAATGGGTCATTTTGGAAGCATCCAATTTCACTCTAATCAGTTCAGAAAGTTTTTTTCATCAGGACATTCAACTGAATTACCTTGGACTGATTTTTTGCATAATCCTAGCAGTGTACCAAAGGACATTTAGTGTATTAAGTCCAAAGTAAAATATTCTAAACAGAAGGTTATCTGTCTCTTCTTGAATATCTCAAGGCAACATCTAGTAGATAAACAGGCCTTTAATGAAATTTTTGCCTAGACTGTGAATCTGGTCCAGAATACTGCAGTGCAAAACTTGCTCAATTTCATTCGATTTTTTTGTTTTCATTTCTAATCCATATGGCTGTATAAGCTGTATGAATGTATATCAATGTACAATAACTTCTACAAGGTTCAGTTTCATATGCCCACTGTTCCTGGATTTTCATAAATGGATTGGTTTGTATCTGCTACTAGTACTCTTCCATGATTTTTCTGCCTACACATTTAGAAATCTGGAGAGGTATTTTGGTTACACAGTGCTCTCTAAATTTTCTCCATAATTTGGAGAGAAGATGAACTTTGTAAACAAAATGAAATAACAAGAAAAATGTGAAAGAACAAAGGTCCTTTCCTGGATTGCAGTGGCCATCTAGTGGATTTTCTTCCATGGGATTGATTATATCCAGGCTGATTTCAGCAATTCTGCTGCATCAAATGCCTGCAAAGTGCTTAAAAGTGCCTCTTCTGGGAAAGGTTCATGGCAGAGAAACCACTTTTGCACGGGAAATACCCACTCCCATAGACATTTTACCTTTGGGTCTGGAACAATGAAATCCGGATAATAATTCTTATTAATCTTTAACCAATCTGGAATTTTACTGGGATCCTAGACAACGGAAGAAAAAGAGGCACCCATCAATTTAGCCCATTATTATGGGATGGGAAACACTTTAATAATAATTAAAGGAATAAATGGTCCCCAAATATCTAAGAAAATTGCATTGCACTGCAGTTTTCAAAGCTTTGACAGAGAAACTATCCACAAGTGAGCATTTAATACCTGAATAATTCCAAAGAGATAAAATACTTAGTTTAGAGCAAGGTAGACTGAATAGGGCTGCCATCCTCCAAAGACATTGAACCAAGTGTCTGTGTCCAGGCATCCCAGAAACGTGGCTGATCAGCAAACTCCTGAAGTTATTTCAGATTAGAATAAAGTAGTTCTTGATTTACAGCCATTTATTTAGTGACTATTCAAAGTTATCACAGCACTGAAAAAAGCGAATTACACTCAGTTCTTGCACTTACAACAATTGCAGCATCCCCTCAATCATATGATCAAAATTTAGATGCTTGGCGACTAGTATATATTTACAATGATTCAACATCCCAGGGTCATGTAATAATAATAATAATAATAATAATAATAATAATAATAATAATAATAATAATAATAATAATATTGAAAAGTGGCTAACAACTGGGAAAACCTACCTAATAATGAAAAATCCAGCAAAAGGGGCAACACCAGGTAACTACAGGCCAATTACCTGCTTACCAACAACATTCAAATTACTAACTGGTGTGGTAGCTGATGCAGTACAACAGCATCTAGTTGAAAACAATCTCTTTCCACCTGAGCAGAAAGGAAACCGCCCCAATAGCAGAGGAACAAAAGATCAACTCCTAATATACAAAATGATCTTGGAAAACTGCAAGAGAAGGAAGACCAACCTGAATGTGTCATGGATTGACTACAAAAAGGCATTTGACTCTCTGCCACATGATTGGATAATCAAGTGCCTAGAAATAACAGGAGTCAGTAGAAACATCAGAAAATTTGTGCAAAGATCGATGGCACAATGGAAGACCCAGTTGCAGATCAATGGTGAGAAGCTGGGAGAGGTTAATATCAAGAGAGGGATATTTCAAGGAGATTCATTATCACCATTACTATTTGTTATTGCACTGTTTCCTCTGTCAACAATACTGAATAACTCAGGACATGGCTATCAAACATCAAAAACATCTGCCAGACTATCCCACCTCCTTTATATAGATGATCTGAAGCTGTATGGAAAAACATCATCTGAAATAGAATCGCTGCTCAACACTGTCCGTATATATATCCAAGATATTGTAATGGAGTTTGGCTTGGACAAATGTGCCACACTTACTATCAAACAAGGAAAAATAGTGAAAACTGAAGGAATCAAGATGCCCAACGAAAATAGCATTAAGAGTCTGGATGAGGAAGAGTACTACAAATACTTGGGTATCCTTCAAGCTGACAACATCAAGCACACTGAAGTCAAGAAAAAGATTAGAGGTGAATACATCAAGAGAGTGAAGAAGATCTTAAAGTCCAAACTCAATGGAGGAAATACCATAAAGGCAATCAACACCTGAGCAATTCCAGTCATTAGGTACACAGCTGAAATAGTGGACTGGACTCAAGCAGAACTAAAAGCAATGGATAGGCAGACCAGAAAAATAATGACAATGAATCATGCCCTTCATCCACGCAGTGACATTGATAGACTTTATCTACCAAGGCAAATAGGTGGCGTGGAATGCTACAAGTACATCAGATGGTTGAAGAAGAAAAAATGGCTTTGGAAGAATATCTGAAGAACAATGATGAAGATGCCCTGAAATTAGTATATCAGGAAGGCTTACTAACTACTGGAGAGACCAAACTGGCCTACAAGAAAGACCAAATGACGAACAGAATAGAGACATGGGAAGACAAAGCACTACATGGCCAATACATGAAAAAATAGCTGGGAAAGCAGATAACAATAAAACCTGGCAATGGCTAAGAGCAGGAAAATTGAAGAAAGAGACCGAGGGACTAATTCTGGCTGCACAAGACCAAGCCTTAAGGACAAATGCATACAAAGTCAAAATTGATAAGACAGCAACAGACAGTAAGTGCCGCCTATGCAAAGAAGCTGAAGAAACAGTGGACCACTTGGTAAGCTGTTGCAAGAAGATTGCACAAACTGATTACAAGCAGCGGCATGACAAAGTAGCAACAATGGTGCATTGGAAGATCTGCAAAAAATATCATTTGCCTGTAAGCAAAAACTGGTGGGATCCTAAAATAGAGAAAGTCATAGAAAATGATAAAATTAAACTGCTCTGGGACTTCAGAATTCAAACAACAAGCACCTGCAACATAACACCCCAGACTTAACAATTGTCGATAAGAAAGACAAAAAAGTCTGGATAGTGGACGTGGCAGTGCCTGGAGACAGCAGAATAGAAGAGAAAGAACTGGAGAAGATAACAAAATACAAAGACCTACAAATAGAAATAGAAAGACGGTGGCAAAAGCAAGCAAGGGTAGTACCAATAGTCATAGGCTCCTTGGGTGCAATCCCAAAACAACTGGAGCACCACTTGAACACCATTGGCATTGACAAATTCGCTATTAGTCAATTGCAAAAGGCGGCCTTATTAGGAACTGCTTCCATCCTGCGACGATACCTGTAATGCCATCAAACATCCACATCTGCCTATCCCAGGTAAAGACTCGATAGGTAGACAAAATGCCAAATCCAGTCTGAACATCTGGCTGACTGTGCGATGATTGAATATAATAGAATAGACGAGAAAGAACTGGAGAAGATAACAAAATACAAAGACCTACAAATAGAAATAGAAAGACTGTGGCAAAAGCAAGCAAGGGTAGTAACAATAGTCATAGGCACATTTAGTCAATTGCAATTGCATTTAGTCAATTGCAAAAGGCGGCCTTACTAGGAACTGCTTCCATCCTGCGACAATATCTGTAATACCATCAAACATCCACCTCTGGCTATCCCAGGTCCTGGGTAAGGACTCGATAGGTAGACAAAATGCCAAATCCAGTCTGAACATCTGGCTGACTGTGCGATGATCCATAATAATAATAATAATAAAGTTGGAAGGGATCTTGGAGGTCATCGAGTCCAACCCCCTGCTCAGGCAGGAAACTCTACATCATTTTGGACAGATGGCTGTCCAGTCTCTTCTTAAAAACTTCCAGTGTTGGAGCATTCACCGCTTCAGGAGGCAGGTTGTTCCGCTGGTTAATTGTTCTAACTGTCAGGAAGTTTCTCCTTAGTTCTAGGTTGCTTCTCTCCTTGATTAGTTTCCATACGTTGCTTCTTGTCCTGCCTTCAGGTGCTTTGGAGAATAGCCTGACTCCCTCTTCTTTGTGGCAGCCCTTGAGATATTGGAACACTGCTATCATGTCCCCCCTTGTCCTTCTCTTCGTTAAACTAGACATACCCAATTCCAGCAACTGTTCCTCATGTTTTAGCCTCCAGTCCCCTAATCATCTTTGTTGCTCTTCTCTGTATTCTTTCTAGAGTCTCAGCATCTTTTTTACATCGTGGTGACCAAAACTGGATGCAGTATTCCAAGTGTGGCCTTACCAAGGCATTGTAAAGTGGTATTAATACTTCCCATGATCTTGATTTTATCCCTCTGTTAATGGCTCTTTTGGCAGCTGCAGCACACTGCTGGCTCATATTTAAGTGATTGTCCACTAGGACTCCGAGATCCCTCTCGCAGTTACTACTATTGAGCAAGGTACCCCCTATACCAGGGGTAGGCAACTTTGGCTCTTTTATGACTCGTGGACTTTAACTCCCAGAATTCCTGAGCCAGCTGGCTCAGGAATTCTGGGAGTTGAGGTCCACGAGTCATAAAAGAGCCAAGGTTGCCTACCCCTGCCCTATACTGTACCTATACATTTGGTTTTTCTTGCCTAAATGTAGAACCTTACTTTTTTCACCACTGAATTTCATTTTGATAGATAGCGCCCAGGATTCAAGTCTGTCCAGGTCCTCCTGTATCTTAAGCCTGTCTTCTGGAGTGTTGGCTATTCCTGCCAGCTTGGTGTCATCTGCAAATTTGATGAGTTCCCCATCTATCCCCTCGTCCAAATCGTTGATGAAGATGTTGAAGAGCCTGGGCCTAGAACACAGCCCTGGGGCACCCCACTACATACTTGCCTCCATGTAGATGTGGTTCCATTGAGGACCACACACTGAGTGCAGCCGGTCAGCCAGCTACGAATCCATCTGGTGGTGATGCTATCTAACCCACTTTTTTCTATCTTATCGAGTAGTAGGTTGTGATCTACTTTATCAAATGCCTTACTGAAGTCCAAGTAAATTATATCCACAGCATTCCTCTGATCCACTAATTTTGTCACTTTGTCAAAGAATGCAATAAGGTTTGTCTGGCATGATCTGTTTTTGACAAGCCCATGTTGGCTTTTAGTAGTGATTTTGTTTGCCTCTAGGTGTTCGTTGATTCATTGTTTGATTATCTTTTCCAGAATCTTCCCAGGTATTGAGGTCAGGCTGATAGGTCTGTAATTTCCTGGATCCACTTTTTCCCCTTTTTTGAAGATGAGAACTACATCAGCTCTTTTCCAGTCCTCTGGTAGTTCCCCAGTGCTCCAAGATCTTTGAAAAATATAGTTCAGTGGTTCTGAGATCACATCTGCCAGTTCCTTGACAAACTTGGGGTGTAATCCATCTGGTCCTGGCGATTTGAACTCGTCTAGGCTGGATAGGTGCTCACGTATCATTTTCTTGTCTATCTTAACTTGTGTTTCTATACTGTTTTTCATGGCACTATTTTTGATAGGTTGGTCTGTTTTTTCCCTTTGTGTAAAGACAGATGCAAAAAACGAGTTAAATAATTCTGCTTTCTCTCTATTGCTTGTCACCTTCTTGCCACTTTCGCCCACTAATGGACCAATCATTTCCTTCACTTTTTTCTTGTTTTTTACATGTTGAAAGAAGCTTTTTTCGTGATTTTTGACTTTGGTCACAAGCCTTAGTTCATTTTGAGCCTTAGCTTTCCTCACTTCATCTTTGCAGGCTCGGGCTATTTGCTGATATTCTGACTTAGTTATGTTCCCCTCTTTCCACTTTCTATACTTGTCCTTTTTATCTTTCAATTTGTCAGAGAGTTTGCAACCTGATCATTTGCAACCTTCCCAGTTAGCTTCCGACAAGCAAAATTAATGGGAAAAGCTGGATTCATTTTAACAACTGCAGTGATTTATTTTGCAGTGGCAAAATCATCTGTGACACATTTAAGAACTGCCTTGCTTAGCAACAGAAATTCTGGCCCCAGCTGTGATTTTAAGCCTTTAAAAAAGAGATCAGAGATCATAATTTACAAATTGTTACATCTGTACAACATATTAAGCAAAAACCAAACAATAGAAGATTATTTCAACAGGACTTTGGTTGTTGTGATTGTGGGAAACTATAAATTATTTTATAATTTCAATTGCTTTATGGAGTTCTATAGTAGGGTCAATATACAAACATTGCAAGTAAGTTTTATTTTAGTATAGGTAAGTACATTATCATAGGCCAGGCCCTATCTTAACCCAGCATTATTCTTACTAGAGAAAGAGATGAAATGATTGGAAGAATAATTCAGTTTCAATATAACAACAAATAGGAATGAGGAGGAGCAACCCTTAGTCTTCTGCATCTCTTCTCTATTTATTCCACTTTCCACAAGCCTGAGTTGTACTCAATTAGGACAAAATTATAGTAAAACAGCATTTGATATTCCTTTAAATGCAGCGATATAGAGAAAGGAGCATGGCCCCTCCATGAACTTTAAAAACCCAGATTTGGAGGATCATCTAAATGTACTATTTGTGCAAATGAGCAAAAGAAACTGGATCTTCAGCATTAAACTCAATCATGGAGAAGCTTAATGCTAAAAAAGTTAGTTTTAGCTTCAATATTTCAAATTACAGCAAGAATGTTGTCATTTCCCTGCAAGACAAGAATCACAGTGACCCACAAAGCCTTTTAAACACAAACCTTGCTGATTTTCACCATGTCCAGTTCTTTCTGCAGCCGGGCAAGTGTGGCATCATCATGTCCACCAGCACATTTGGTCACTGTGCACCACTTCTGGCTGTCAGGATCGTAACAACCCATGAGGAAGATGGACATCATCCCACCTAAATAAATGAGAATAGACAGAAGTAGCAATCTGGTGGAGGGGAATAAATCTATTTTATCTTCTAGAATCTTTTCTCATGACAACACTGAGAGACTGCAATTGAAACAACCTGAAAACTTTGGGTTTTGAACATTGCATCGCATGCAATGCTAGCCTTGCAGTCGTGGGAATTTTTAAGGATCTTGACGCAGTTGCTGGCCTTACAATTTGCTATTGTAAAATATGGATAGTGTAGACAAGACGTGGATTATATTGTGAAGTTTTCTTATCTTTTGGATTTTGTTGCAGATATTTCAGCCTTGGTTAAGTTTGAGAAAGGCTGCCTGAGGCTCTGAAAAGCCACAGCAAATCAAATGATTAAGTTAGAAGTAGGCTTATAACGAGAGAGATTCCTAATCGAATCAGTTGTTTATGAAGTGAGGATCAAATCAGATCTTAGTATTTGTTATGGAACATCCTATAGTTTAATAATCAATCATGTGTTCTGCGTGTAAAACTTCCCACTTCCCACTCCCAACCATAGCTAGAGCAGTGTTTTTCAACCTTAGCAGCTTTAAGATGTGGGGACTTTAATTCCCCACTGGCTGGCTGGAGAATTCTGGGAATTCTCAAAGTTACCAAGGTTGAGAAACACTGGGATAGAGATTCCAATCTGAAATTCTGGAGAACTATAGTTAGTGACTCAATTACCACACTGCCTCAGTATAAATACGGATATTTCTGCTCTTTATTGATCTGGATGCAGAACTTTCCAAATTCAAACATCTTGGGAAGCATCTCAAAACTCCCATCTATCGCCTTGGAGAACTACAGCAGGTCAGTATGAACTAGAAAGAATAAGATTCAGGATTCTCAGTCTGGACTTTTACAAAAACCCACCTTTGCTCCCCTGGCCATAGAAGGCACCCAAAACCACCAGGTCTGCTGTGTCTGCCATTGCTCCCTCATTCAGATAGTCCTTCTTCACTTTGAGCCAGTGGCGTTTTCCTGGTTCATAAATACTCTAGCCAAAACAAAAGCAGAAAGGGCATCATATAGATTCCAAGGAGGAAAGGCCAGTCCTATTCTCTTTAGTGCAGATCCCACATTTGGAAATAAAGGGCCACAGGTGTGCACACTCCAAAAGATAAAGAGGAAGACAGATCAGAGGACAACTCTTGATTTCCACTAAATTACACTCAACATGGTTCTCATAATTACAATTTTACCAATTTCCTCCTTGATCACAACAAAAATTATAACTCAGCAGCAACTTTTACAGGAACTCTGGGAGGTTTTTTTGAGAGTGGCAAGTAATCCCAGAGTCTTAAACTGCACAATTCCACTCTAACTCTAGTGACTATGTAAGTTCCCACCCATTTTATATCTTTCCTAATCTAATATTTCTTAATGGTTTATTTAATATATTGACAGATATGCATAAGCAACTATCCTATGTCCCCCAGGTCCATGGAACAACCGCTCTCCATGGAATTGGTCCCTGGTGCCCAAAAAATTGGGGGCCGCTGATTTGGAACAGAAGTTTTTCACAAAGAACATACAAGCTTAGTCTCTGGAATTCATTATTGTAAGATGGATGGTTGCTGACTGGCTGGCTTCAAAAGGAAATTGGATACGTTCAGGGAGGGCAGATCTATCAGTCTATAAATAGACTTTAATATGGGGGTGTGTGTGCGAATATTTCTGAAGTCACAACTGCTTTCCATTTATAGTTTTTCGGTTTTGCAGAGTTTGTTGCCTGCTGGCCTAAATGGGCTAGCAAAAATAGCAGCTTGCATACCTTCACATCTTTCAGCACTAATCCCTCCAGCCCTTCCCGGATGACTCGGTTGATCATGTCGGCGAGGTCCGAAGCTTTCTGGAAAAGAAAAAAGTTATAAAGGTAGGATTGAGATTAGCAATCCCATTGGACATTTAAACATGACTGAAGGTCTTATCCAGAAGATCTAATTTGATCCAGAAAATCTAATCCACCTTTATTTCAGATAACAAGCCAGCCAATTCACTATTTCATTTTGCTTGAAAATTCCTGTCCTTCCTATGGCACACATACCTTTCATGAATTATAAAACTGGAAGAGTTAGCATCTCATTAAACCCTATTTATCCAGATGGATTGGGAGACGAAAAGAGCTGTTTGGAACATAGTACCACCGGACGGGGGAATCTAAAAAGAACACTTCACAGCTGGCCTGGCCTCTGGGAAGATGGGTGCTGTTTTTATTACTTGTTGTATGACCTAGAATCATTGTATGAGATAGGCAGCATACATGTATGTATGTATGTATGTATGCATATATGTATGAGTGAATGAATAAATAAATAAATAGCATCAGGACAGGGAAGAAACACAAACTTTTTTTGAGACACAGACGGTTAAGCATCCAATGACTCATCCATGTACAGAAGATTCAAAGAACTTTCTGCTGAACATTTTTAAGTTTCTCCAAGTCTCATTCTTGCCATCCAAAATGGTACCTACTGTGACATGCTTCATCTCTGAAAAGAGAATTCGGTTGGGAATTTCCACCATGTTATCATGGAGAAATTTGCGACGCTCACGCAGAGGCCTAAAGGAAACAGACATGGGCAAAATCACCAGAAGAAAGATGTGGCTGAGAAAAAGTTCCTTTAATGATTCTAACATCAAGCAAATCCTGCACTTCAGAGCATACTTCGATGAGCATGGCCAAAGATATTCATCTCCAATTGGACATTTTCCCCGAGTGATGACTGGGAATTCTGGGAGTTATGGTGTCCACAGACTTTATCAACCTTACGAGATAGACCAAATAAGAAAATGGACTGTGGTTGTCTTAACATCTTTATTGTGACTTCTCCATGGCCATCTACATGGATAGCAGATTTAAACATCCATATTCTGCCCGTTTTACATTCTATCACAAGTAACGGTCTTTTTTTTTTTGCATGAACTCACAGGACCATGTGGTGGGTGCCTAGCATAGATGAATTGATAGTGTATCCTTTACATAGAAAGGGTTAAACTAATATAGTTTTCATAGGACTCTGTGGCTTGTAATTAACTCTGTTTTGATCTGTCAATCTTTCTCTCTGTAGGTCACTCTAAATAAAGAGAGCAGCTTCTTGCAATGATGAGAAAAGGATCTTCATTAAGAAATGATGATTCAGTGCAAGTCTTAAGTCAGGATGATGTAGAACTGTATGATTTGCACTTTGCAATACCTTCCATTCATTTGCTAAGTGAGAAATCCTGGCTTAGACAGCAGAACTGGCTGGATTTGGAATAATACCTTAAGCCAAAGCCAAATCAATCACAAAGGAGCTTAGTAAAATGCCTACATCTATGGTCACACAACATAATTAACTGAATTAAACTATCTTCCAGATTCACACAGCCTACTGAAGCAACAATTAGTCAATCAGGATAGGCTTGTAGATACTTAGCTGTACACACACATTAGAGAATGCTTTATGAAAGCAATGATAGGTTTTTATCTAAGTTGTTTAAGTAGATTGTGGGAACATAGTTACCATGATTAAGGTTTGGAGCTTTGTGTCAACCCTCCCAAATAAACCAGACAGAAAACATGATTAGATGAGCTAATTCTACTTTATTGCAAGATCACATTAACAGAATCTTGCAAAGTCTGAAGGTGCATACTTCCTACCATCATTATTAACTGATCCATTAAGACAGGTCCTTTTAAAGTTTCTCCCACTGACTATTAAGCCACTGGGGGCTCCTGCCTCTCTTATCTGATTGTTTCCTAGATAGTATCTCTCCTTGTCCCCCAAAATCTTTCACACATTGTGTTATACTTTGTGGAGAATCAGTTTAAACATAGAGGGTGCATGTAATCCAGCACAGATTTTCATGGAGCAGAGACCCACTCTTGGCAACCAAAAAGTGTAGGCCATAATTTTCTTCTTTGCTCAGATTCAGGCTGATACAAGAAACAATGCTTTTAACAATGCTTTGCTGGGCCTACCTTACTGAACAGGACTGGCACTCATTATGCACCCACCTGTCCATCAGACTGACGTCATTGAAGTAGATGCAGTCAAAGACAAAAAGGCAAACATTAGCATCCTGGAAAGCAGCTTTCTGCAAAGGGACAGAAAAAAAGAAGAAGCTGAAACTGAGTGCATGGTATCATTTTATGAGCAACAACCAAGGCTATTCTGCTATTCTGGAAAAGGACAAAGTAAGCCAGGGATAGATAACTTGTTGCCCTCTGGTACACCACTTGCAGGTCATTTTTGTTTTGCATTTTTATAAAAACAGTAATTGAACTGGAGAGGGAAAACCAATTTTCTCCCTTTAAAATATACCCCCCCTCTGCATGGCATGAAACTGTGATGCTGAAATCTGGCCATTTTGTCTAACTTTTAACCAAATAACCCCAGTTCTAGTATTGCAAAGGGGAAAAACCCTGTCTACTTACTCTATAGCATGTCTTCTAGTATAAATCTACTGGACCATAGTCTGCTAATTTGGAATGAGAATTCTCTCTGGAGAACTATGTTGGAGAAAGCTGGATTCCATTCCCTCCCCATCAGCTAAAAATGCTGTCACCTTTCATTATTGCATTCTTTTTATTAAATACAAGCTCTTCACTCCCTGCTCTATAAAAGAAGCTTGCTATAAGTCTGTGGAGATTCTCAGTCATCCAGGTCATAGCTATCCCAAAGATGCTTTTCCACGAGACAACTGGACTTTCTTGTTTTTCTTTGAAGACATTTAGCTTCTTGGATGAGAAACGAAACGTCTTCAGAGAAAAACAAGAAAGTCCAGTTGCCTCGTGGAAAAGCATCTTTGGGAAGCTTGTTATAAATTACACCAGTGATTCTCAACTGTGGTCTGTGGACCTCGGGGGGGGGGGGAATGTCATCAAGGGGGGGGGTCAACAAAAGCTTGGAGAAGTGTTACGATTTAAATCTTGAGTTAAGTCTTGGTGGTCCGTGGCCATGGTCACAAAAGGTATTTAAAGGGCATCTGTGGTAAAGAAAAGGTTGAGGACTATTGAATTATACCATCTCTTTGGCGATGGAAGAGACTTTCTCCTGATGTACCTTATGCACTCCCAGCGTCCCAAAAGGCAGAGGCTTCCCTATCTTGGTGTCAATCAGAAGAACTTCAGCATCCAAGATCATACTGTGCCCTCCTGGAAAGGCCTTTGGGATGAAGTCCTTAAAATGAGCCACCTGATGAAATGCAAGCAAGCAAATACATGACGTGAATTTCTCAATCCATCCGCTGCCCAAAGAACTAGGTATCAACTGGTTTTAAAAGCAGATAGAAAGATTTGACTCCCCCAGTGTTTCTCAACCTCAGCAGCTTTAACATATATGGGGACTTCAACTCCCAGAACGACTAGATCAAACAAGATGAAGATGCTATTTTTCCTTGCTTTTCCCCCCTCAAACTCTTTTTTTCTTTCTTCTGCAACCTTTTTTATTTTATTATATTTTATTTGTCAAATTTAAGTACTGCTTATCTCACTCATAGGGATGGCTTTTATTTTTGTTGCAGCATGAAAAAATCCACCTGGGAGACAATTGTAGTCTGAAAAACAGGGTGAAACAAATGCTGGAGATAAAAGGTTAGGCATGTTAATGTTAAGAGGAAAAGTTACTGCCCACGTGACTGCTCTACTAATTAAACACAAAAGTGCTGAGGAAACTGTGAGGTCAACATTTCATTTACAACACTGTAAATCAAATATACACTTGGGAACTATTAAAATTCCTTGTTTTCCCTGACCAAACTACAGAGCACACTGTCCCAAACCACAGTTTTGGTACTACTGGATTTCACTGTGGCTGAGGTTAAGAATGCCAGCCACACAGATTAAGCTGGAGCCAGGAACCCATACTCTTCCCCAGTGGTAGCCCATCTACTCCACTAACCTTGTGAGGGAGAACAGGTTTCAGACTGCGGCTGAAATAGCAGAAATGATCTCCCTTTTTGTGCACCTGGACACGCTCTCCATCATACTTAATCTCTGCATACATGCCATTGGGACACTTTTTCATGGCATACTCAATCGATTTGCAAGCTTCAGCCTTACAGAATAAGGAAGAAAGAAAAAAAATCCAGTTTAAAACTCTTAGCTTATAACAACCAGCTGCCTTCCGGCAAGTTAGACATAACTCCATTCCCAACAACCTTTCAAACTAAACATCTCTCAGATGATCTGGACTATAATTCCCTGGCCAACAGGGTCATAGACTGGTGCATAAACAGGTTCTTGCTTGCATGGAAACCAGGCATATACTAATGTTTCGTAGCCTTGGCAACTTTAAGACACGTGGACTTCGGCTCCTAGTATCCTGACTGAGGAATTCTGGGAGTTGAAGTCTATATGTCTTAAAGTTGCCAAGCTTGCAGGAGCATGATAGCTTGAATGGCTAGAATGCTGGGCAGGAGTTTACCAAGCCCACGTTCGAGACCTGAGAGCTGTTATAGGGTGGGGTTGAACTCTTGTCCTTCACTCTAGCTCCTCCTGGGGACATGAAAGGAGCCCCCAACTGGGTGTCCCCAGGGTAAAGGTGATGTCACTGGCTAATCCTTTCAACCTTTATACGATTGCATGCATGAAAGTTCATCTAGAGAACTTTGAATTGATGTCTGAGAGGAGAATAAGTCTCATAAATGATGTTAGATAGGGGAAAACAGTTCACATATGCAGACAAGGGCTTTTGGAGAATGCCAGGCTAAATCTACAGATAACTTAGAGTAAGCAGTGCCAAGTAGACTGAATGACGAAGCAGTACAAATGTTCAACAAGATTTTTGCTTTCTACGAAACACATTTTGAGGAGAGCATCCACACTTCCTTATTTTTTAGAACAGCAAGAAAATTAGCTTTAGTTTCACCCTGGCCTAGAAAGGTATCATCAACGGCCACACACTCTTGAAAATGTATAGTTAAAAGACTGTATAAGGGTACTCAACTAGGGCAGACAAGCTGACAAAAACCAATGGAACTCTTGATGTTATCCTTGTTTTTTTTTATACTGCAGATTTCATTGTATTCTATAGCTCAGGGGTTCTCAACCTTGGCAACTTTAAGACTTGTGGACTTCAACTCCCAGAATTCCTCAGCCAGCAAAGCTGGCTGAGGAATTCTGGGAGTTGAAGTCCACAAGTCTTAAAGTTGCCAAGATTGAGAACCCCTGCTATAGCTGTTTCGTAAATGCTGAGGAATGGACACAATTCAAGTAAATAAAAGAATAAAGCAAACATTAATAATATATTAAGCTTGGACAATTGAGACTTAGCTTAAGTAGTCACCAACTACACTGCATACTGGGTAACTTTGCCCAATCCCTCTCTCTCAACCCAACCTAATTCACAAGGCAGATGTTGGGATAAAATCAGAGGACCTTTTATGGCTCCCCGCACCCTTTCTGCTCTCAGAAAAAAGGAAGACTATAAATAAATAAATGCTTAAATTAAATACATACTTTTCTAACTAACAATAAAACCTGAACATAAGAGGGTGACACAGGCAGACAAAGAGGTTGTTCCAGAGCCTGGTGCTGCAACTAAGAAAAACCACATCTCTGCAGACCCCAGCTGTTCCTTACCAGCATGGGCTGAACTGGGGTCATCAGGGCTGCCTGGACGCTAAGAATTTTCTTCATGCCCGGCTGAGATTCTTGCTGGTTCTTCAGCACTCTCTCCACAACATCATGGAGGTTACGGGATGCTTTGAAAGCCTCATAAGCATTGGGGTCCAATGCATCAAGTCTGTATAGGAAAAGAGCAGGATAATTTTTTTTTTTTAGAAAAGGATGAGTGTGGTTATAGCTGGAAAAAGATTGGGGAGCCTCAAGGTCAAGTCCATCCCCACCCACCTATCCTAAAGGGAGGCTATTATGGAGAGAAAAATGGGAGGACCTGCTTATGGGCTGCCATGGCTTTCAGGAAGAAGGGCAGGATTTAAATCTAAAGAACAGATATATCAACAAATTTAAAGAAAATAACTAATTCTAGATTCTACCAGTTTGGTTAAGACAGATTTCTCCAAGTTGCATCTCTCTAAATATCTTGAATTTGCCTTCCAATTATTAGCAATGTTGACAAGGGCTGACGGGAAGTTTGTTTAATAGTATCTGAAGATGCTATTAGGGTAGATGTTTAGTTGGGGTGATTTATAGTAGCAATAGCACTTAGACTTATATACCTCTTCACAGTGCTTTACAGCCCTCTCTAAGCTGTTTACAGAGTCAGCATATTGCCCCCAACGATTTGGATCCTCATTTTACTGACCTCAGATGGAAGGCTGAGTCAATCCTGAGAACTGAACCACCAAACTACAGGCAGCCAGCAGTAGTAGCCTGCAGTACTGCATTCTAACCATTGCGCCACCATGGCTATGCTAGACAACAGAATCTTTATGAGAGAGATTTCTTGAGAACTATCCCTTCAAGACACCTTCAAGGCACCCAATGTTTAGTACCTTTGCCTTTAAAGAAAAGTAATAATCACTCTTTTAATTAAAAGAAAACCTTTGCAAGGTCACCATGGTGTCTAGGAAGTCATCGGATCATATCTGAAAGGAATATCTTTCTTGTGACTGACAATCAGAGTTCAAAGGGTCTTGGAGCTAATTAGTAGACCTATCTAATTATCTAATTTCCTTACTAATACTGCTAACATGTTCTGCTCTTAGATTTCTGACATTCTCCTCAACTTGATCTCAGCTTACATGTGTTTTGCGCCAGCATTCATTTTCAAGTCATGTTTAATCAATCGAATAATGCACTTCAGGTCATTAGCGGTGCACCTGGAAAAAAAAAAAGGATACAAATGCAATATACCTACATTAATATAAAGCTAAGAAGTTGGGCCTCTAGTTTTGTGTATTTTTGGGGTATATTTATGTTACTCCCAAATAGGACCTCCATTGCAGGGAATAGGAGCAGAACCTCTTAGGCTTTGGAAGCATTAACCAATCTCTGAGCAGGCATCTGAGCATGCCTACCTATTCCAATCTGACACCACCCCCCACTTCAAAATTCATAAATATTTCCTTTTTCTACCTCGATGCAATTTCTTGCAGTAGGTTCTGCTGCTCCTCTTCTTTGGAAAGTTTAGATAGCTGTGTCAGGAACTCATCTACTTCCTGGATTGTCAAAAGACTCTTGGCAGCAGGAGGGCAAGATCTGCTTTGCTCAAAAAAGATCCGCACGGTTTCTGAAACATCACCCTGATTTACGATACAAAAGGAAACAGCTACAAAGAGCACTGCTACAGACAGAGGAATGTTTGGCTTGTAATTGTAATAAACTGTAATTATAAATGACAATAATAAATTAATTTCAATCAGGAAAGCCTCGGGGATCTTTGACATCAGCCATCAAAGTATAAACCAATAGAAAAATTCAACCTGTGATCTGCAAAAGCCATGGATGCAACCCTAGAGTATCTACATAAATTGTCAATAAATTGTACTTATAGGTAGTCCTTGACTTACTACCAGTCACTTAGTGACAGTTTGAAGTTGTGATACCCCCACCCACAAGTTACTTACCCAGTTTCAAAGTTCTGATACTCCCCGAATCATGTGATTGTTTTATAATGTTTTTGCCAAAAACCATGTTTTCTTCTGGTTTCTGGCAAAAATTGCCCCAAGGTAAACACTGGGTTTGCTTAACAATTACTGCATTTGCTTAACAATGGTTGCAAAAAAGGTTGTAAACCTGGATCTGGTCACTTCTTGACTTTCCAGACTTACGACCATAATTGTGGTGCTCAACCGCTTAGAGAAAGAGGCATGCTGTGTAGAGGAATACTGTCTACCAAAAATCTGACTCCTTTTTGCCCACCTGCTCAAGGTCTCGGACCATGTCTTCCTGGCTGCAGTTGAATATCCTACTGAAGAGCTTGACAATCTGCTTGTCATTCAAATTGTAAACACTTTTAATGACTCCAGGCAAGAGTAACTTGATGGTTAGGTAGAGATCACCTCGAAAGCCATCTGGAAGAGGTACAGATGTTTGCAATAGGTCAGCAGACCTGTTTTTCAGACTGGTAACTGACTTAGCCTCCACCATCCCTGTTCCAGGCTGCATTAGTTGAGAAGAATAATCTAACCATTAGGGATAACAGACACCTCCCTCAAGTCACCATCTCTGGGTGTTCTTGTGCCTTTCTTAGCACTGTGCTATGAGATCCTGCCACTCTTATCCTAATTATAATAAATTATACAAACACACAATAAATTGTTATTAAATTATAATAAATATTATGTTGATCCCAGGTTTGTTTCTACCCAGACCCAAGCGCCCTACCAGGGAAAACAAAGAGAAAGAAATTGTACCTCCACTGGTTCCCTTCTGTAAGAAGTCCTGAATTATCTGAGTTTTGACATTGTAACTGGATTCGTCAGCCACCATTACACACAGCTTCCTGAATTCTCGCAGCAAACAGTCTTTGTGTTTTGGATCACTCTTCTCGGTGGACAAGCTGGGCTTGTGGGAAGAGCCAGAGCTGGATGTTTCTTCATAAGTGCCTGACTTTGCTAAGCAGACAAAGAGTTTTAGGGTAAGTGGAAATGCCTGATTTTATTTATATACTATTGCAATATATTTATTTTATACTTGTTGGTCGACTCAAGGCAGCAAACATACCCAATTTTCTTCCTCTATTTTTTTTCCACAACAACCCCCTGTGAGGTGGAGTAGGCTGAGATTGACTAGCTCAAAATCACTCAGTTGGGTTTAATACTTAACAGAGGCCTAGAATTCACAGTCTCCTGATTTCTTAATCACTGCACCCAACTGGCTCTCTTAATGTTTAGAAGAGGGTTTATATACCACTCCTATATGCCACACATCTGATAAAATAATTAGATTGGTAACAATACAAGTAAGGAAGATTGATCAAAACTCTGTGCTAGAAGGAAAGATGGACTGGCGGAGACTGACTATTACATTTCATCCAGAGGAGCAAAGTCATTTAATTTTAGTCTTCTCTTTTGGCAGAGAGCACAGAATAGGAAGCTAAATTTTTTTGGGGGAAAAAGAGGCTGTCGCTTTCACCTGAAAGGGCTGATTCTAATTTTATACATATCTGCAAACACATCTGCTGTCAGCGAAGACTTACATTCTTACTATTTTGAAGAGCCATTATTTTTCTTCCACCACTATCTTAAGTCAAAATGAAATGTCAGCAATATGTTGCAAGGAAGTAAGGGTTCTCACCAACCTGTAAAACCTGAAAATTTCCTTGGTGAAGGATTTGAAGAAACCAGAGGCATTTTCTTGGGGGATGTTATTTGTCCACCAGGAGAAATCTTTGTCTGGATTATAGCTTTTTTCTTTGGAGTGTTTGCAGTTTTGGAAGAAAGGTCTGTGGAATAGAGAGGGGATTATCCATTATTCTGTGTCCTGAACAATATATATATATTTCAGGACAATTGCTCCTAGAAGCAATTGCTTCTAGCAATTGCTCCTAGAAGCACGAAGCCGAAAGCATCAGCCTGAAGATGACGAATGAGACTTCGTCGAAACGTCGCCAAGACACTTCCAATTTTACGTGGGAGAAAACCCAAATAACCAAAGACCTACATACAAACACCCGCAAAAACCTCAGAAAACACACACATACACACACACACACACACACACACACACATACATACATACATATGTATGTATGTATGTATATATATATATATATATTGAAAAGTTCTAACGGTTCCCCATTTTTTTTTCAATGCTAAAGATGCTCTTTGATCAGGCAGTTTTAAATCTTCTGACAATTCTCATTGTCCTTTTCCAAACTTGTCCTATTGTGTAGTTTAAAGGAATCAGTCATACAATTTGACTCTAACAGCCTCAAAATATCCGGAATTTATTCTATATCTCCACTGAGATCAAGCAAGGAGATACTTGGGAAAGTTCACTTTATTTGGAACTGTCCAACTCTCAGTATGTTTAGTTTTAGGACATTAATAAAAGTCTACAGTACTACAAGATAAATTTGAGATAAATTTGTTCTTTAACAGTAAATGTCTATTGGCAAAAATAACAAATGATCAGTTCATATTTTTGGAATCAGACTTTGGGATACTGTTATGTTGACTGAATGTAAATATACACCCAATTTAACAAAACATTTGCTAGGTGGATAAGAATGGTGATCACAACCGCACTTCCTTCCTAGTTTAATCTGTTTAAATATTTATATGTTATCTTTTAGCAAAACTGTTTTAGGATAGTTTATATATTTTTAAAAAAACTCCAAAAAACCCTATTATCTCCCTCTCAATAACTTTTCAATAATCTATCCTAACACCAGTTATCATTTGACTATCTCATGTTATAATCATGCCTTAGGGAACAATTAGACTTGGTATAAACAATGCCGTACCAGACAGGAATGTTGTGAGAACAACACAATGTTTCAAACACTATCTTCCGTATACTACTATATTACTCTTGTGTCTGTAACCTTTAACTGGGCAAAACAGTGCATCCTAGAGCAAAACTTTTCAACCAAGGTACTTCAAATGGGCTAATTTACAGAATACATCCAAAATCTGGGACCCATGAGTCCTGTGGAATTGAAATTTGGCAAATTTTATAAAATATTTAATGACATAAAATTTACCATAGAACATTTTATGACATATGTCATAAAACATTTTCTGTGTGAACTGCTGCTGTTTGATTGTATTATACAGTTCAACATGGGCTTCTTTCAAGGTGGCTACATCTCTGAATATCCCTGAATTTTTAAGAAGCGTTTTAGCACATTAGAACAAAGGTCTCCAACCTTGGCAACTTTATGACTTGTGGACCAACTCCAAGAATTACTCAGCCAGCTTATGCTAGCTTAGGAATTCTGGGAGTTGAAGCCCACAAGTCGTAAAGTTGCCAAGGTTGGAGACCTCTGCATTAGAAGATCTGCCACTGTTGAATGCATTGAGGAATCTGGTAAGGAAATATTTTTGACACGATGATCCAATGGGTTGTTTAGTAATTTATACAAAAGTCACCCATGCCAGTACCTTTGATCTCAAAGATAATACATAAAAAAGAGCCCAGATCTAATTAGTATTTGCTTGGGAAACCAGTAGAAAATTCCAGTCTTTTCCTAGACTGGAAAGTAAAAAAAGTGATCACAGAAGAAAGCAATGAAAAATCACTTCCATGTTGTTACTAAAAAAAGCAATACGGATTTCATTCAGTCAAGGTCAACTCAAGAGAGACTTTTTTAATTGCAACTGCCGCTGCAACCTCCCTGATGCATAGCTCACCTGAGATGTGCTGATTGATCATCTCCTTTTCAGCCTCCTGCAGTTCTTCCCAGCCTTCCAGGTCTGTGATATCTTCAATCTTCTTTGTTGTGGCTCGAGCCCTCTCCAGTTTCTCAAATATGCACTTGATATGATACCACTCCTTCATGTCCCCGCCAGATTCAGTGAAGGGATTGGGCACCACTTTTCCAATGCGCAGCATCCCCTTGAGGATCTTCTCTTTGCACTTTTTGCAGCCAGCAGTGCCTCGCTTGGCATAGTCCACACAGTACCGCTGTTCTGCCATCTCAGAGGCAGTGCACAAGGATGTCAGACGGCAAACATGCAAAGCTGCTGGAAAGGGAAAGCTGGAGATGCCAGATTGGTGGTACCAGGGTCCAGTCCAAGGCAAGGCACCCTTATTGAGGAATCTGAACACACTAGTGTGACCGTGACAGTGTGCCTTCTTCGGCAGCAAGGCCAATTTTTTACTTCTGCTAAGGCTCCTGGCTGTTTTCAGAAAAGCTTTGAGAGAAAGCAGCATGTAATTTTCTTTGTTGAATCTGATGCTGTGAAAAAGAAGTTATTAGGCTTTGCTGCAAAGTCAGCCAGATGTTTAGACTGGATTTGGCATTTTATCTATCTATCAATTCCTTCTCAAGGACCTGGGATAGTGAGGTGTTGTTTGAATTATTATTAGGGGGAGACAATGGTTATTGCAACTCAATCAGAGAGAGAAGAGCTGCACTGGTCAGTTGCAAGAGCACTAAACAGCCCCCAACCCCAAGACCATGTGATCAGCGGGAGGGGACAGGTAAATAACTCAAATAGACCACCTTGAATTTTAGGAAAAAAAAGTCCTTGGACCATCCATCCAGCTCAGAGGAGGGCCAAGGGCTGCCCCTGAGTGCAGGTCGTCCTCTACTGTTCAAAGTTACAATAGCACTGAAAAATGTGACCTATGACTGCTTTTCACAATTATGACCCTTGCAGCATTCCCATGGTCACATGATCAAAGTTCAGATGCTTGGCAACTAGTTCATGTTTATGATGGTTGCAGCATCCTGGGGTCATGTGATCCCCTTTTCCAACCTTTTGACAAACAAAGTCAATGGGGAAGCCAGATTCAGTTAACAACTGGGTTACTAATTTATCAACTGCAGTGATTCATTTAACAACTGTGGCAAAAAGGACGTAAAATGGGGCAAAACTCACTTAACAAAGTCTTACTTAACAAAAGAAATCTTGGGCTCAATTTTGGTCGTAAATCGAAGACTACCTGTATCGGCAATATTATTACAGTATTAAGGGAGCGTCATAGACCATCTTCGCGCTCCCACCTACCATTTCTCAGCCTGATCCCCCTCCAGCACGTATGTTCTGCCCACTCTACTGGGTTAGCCTCTCACCAGGGCCTCGCACCTCGCTGGGGAAGGTGAAAAGGAAGGGGAGACGAGGGAAAGGCAGCCGCCTTACCAGCAGAGAGTCCGCGAAGAGAGAGAGAGAGAGAGAGAGAGAGACAGCATGAACGGGAACAAAACTCGCTCGCTCCCTCGCTCGCTCGGCTTCCCCAATTCCGCCCGCGCTCGCTCCTCCTAGTGGCAGGTTTGATTCTCACGTGGCCTGGACCTGAAGGACAAGGAAGGGGCGGAGTAAACAATTAAGAGGTGTGTCTGCCAGACGCCCCGCCTCCCTCCGAAGCGTGAGCGGGACATAGCTACGCCCCAGCACTTTTGCCTTCCCCCGGCAGACAATCCCCCGCCTACCTTTTCTTTGCCCATTCAGGGTAGATGGCGGCCGCGGCCTCTTTCAATCCAGGCCACACCTTCCGCGTGCGAACAAAAGGCAGGGACGTTCAGCGGTATGATGTCACCACGCTTCTCGCGCGGCTGCTCAGGGATCTCAGACTATTGGCATCCAGTAAACGTTGGTTGAACAAGCCGTAGGTTGTTGTAATGTGAAATTAGCCAGTTTATTCAGTAGGGCTTCTTCGTAGTAAGTATATTTAGGAATGCAGTTTTTATTTACTTTACGCTCTGAATTATTTATTAATCATGCCGTTTTAACTTGTTTTTAAAAAGACGAGATTTTGTTTTCAATTGTGTTTCAGTCCATGCAAAGAACTATTCTTAAACGAGAATAAAGGCACCAATTTGCACTTATTGGAGAATGCGTCATTTCTTTGCACGCATGAGCCAATTTTTGACACAGCAAATGGAGAAGTTTTCTTCATCTTGTTCTGTATTTCCTCAGACATTATTAATGGAATGAATCTCTTGATTAAGAGGCAATAAAAATGTCCTCCCTCTCCAGGAAATAGCTTGGGAAAAAGAGAGGCTTTTCTGTCCCATGTATTTCTTTAAAAAATCTAAATATAATGAATATATTAGCATTCACTGATAACTAACAGTGAATATTTGCATTCAAGACCATTATGGTATGAACATTTTTCTTTTTAATGGGAACTTCTGCCACTTAATTACATTGCACAGTACTCTTAGCCCTCTGTGTATGTTCAAAAGCATATCCTGCAACAAGCATGCCCTGTAACAATTTCCAAGAGGAGGAGAGCATGTTGAGGGGACATTGTTGTGAATCATCTTCGGTCAGAGATAGAAAGTGATGTGTATTTTAGAATAAAGCCCTGGTATAAATAAAGATATCTGTTAAGGTTCAGCTGCAACTTGGTGGGGAAAGTTGCACATTTACATTTTTTACATGTACACATACCCACAACACCTTAAAATGCATTGTAAGTTTTAACTTATTGTATATTAAAAGAGGATACATTGTCATAATTATGCCATACACACACAGATGCACACTGTTAATGAAGAACATTCCTTTTGTGAATTACAGGTAGTCCTCGACTTACGACTATTTGTTTAGTGACCATTTAAAGTTAAAGTGGCACTGAAAAAAGTGACATATGATCAGCTTTCACACTTAAACTGTTACAGCATCCTCATGATCACATGGTTAGAATTCAGGCGTTTGGCAACTGGCATGCACTTACAACAGTTGCACTGTCCCAGGGTCATGGGATCACCACATGTAAACTTTCCAGTCAGCTTCTGAGAAGCAAAGTCAATGGGAGAAGCCAGATTCATTTAATGATCTCATGATTCACTTAACAATTGCAGTAATTTGCTTAACAATTGTGGCAAAAAAGTTGCAAAATGGGGCAAAACTCACTTAACAACTGCCTTGCATAGCAACAGAAATTTTGGATTCAATTGTGATCGTAAATAGGGATTAACTGTAGTTTGCAGTATTTATAGCTCAATACTAAATCTCAGTCAGATGGGTGGCATAGAAGTTTAATAAATATAATGGCATAGACTGTGTTACGGTTATTTGTAAGGGCTTTTTTTAAGTAGATATCTTGCAGCTTTTTCTAATTTCCCTTCAGAGGATAAATATTTTAAAGGTTTATTTTTTATTTAGCAATAGACACCCAGCGGTATGTGTAAATGGATATTATATAAACATGCAGACAGAAATTAAAGGACTTTGGAGGATCATGGGAGGAAAAATATAGGCTGATGAAGTATGGTAACTAAGATTAATTAGCAACATGAACACAAAACTGGTCTTTAATCATTTGAGGGGCATAGCTGAATGGGCATAGCTTGTTCCGATATATTGGTGTGGTTGAAATTTTCTTTCTGCGATGGGTTGGGGACAAACTGAGTTTTTCCTGTTGGTTTTCAAAAGAGTGTTAAACCTTTGTGAAGGCTTAAGCCCATCAGGTTTTGTGTATCTCACCTCAAAATGGGAGACAACTCTGCCAATTTAAGCCCTTTTGAGGATAGGACTTGAGGCTATACATACAAGATGTCTTGCAAATTGTCTCGTGTCCCCCCAAGACAATTCTTACATAATTGATCACAAAATATTATTTTATTTATCTTGGCCTCTCTTTTTATCCTCTTTGACTTTCTCTCTTTTTTAAATTTTTTTTTTATTTTCAATTTTACATTACATTCATAAAAAATACATCAGATAAAGAGTAAAATAAATTTATACACACAACTTTCGGTATTGCTCACCCATTTCCTCCCAAACCGCATCCACCCTCTAACCTCTTCTCTCACTTCCCTCTTTCCCTCTTCTTCCTCACTCTCCCCCTCTCCTCCTTCTCCTCAACCTTCCTACTTACTTCTCCCCTTCCTCACTCTGGATGCAGTCCAGGGGAAATGCCGGAGCAATTCCTCTCTCCAAATTAAAACATCAATATTATATACAATAAAACTATTTCTACTTATCTGAGCTATTTAACCTTCAACCCATCCTACCCCCTCCCCTCCCCCCTCCCCCCCTCCGACTTCCCAGAGCCAAGTACAGGGTTATACAAACATATTAAACATAATCTATTTAAGTTTACTAATTATACAATAACCAAAATCATACTAACCCTTAACTCTCTTGAAACTTTAACACCATAATTTTATAAACAAATCCTTTAGTCATAAAATAAATGAAACTTTGTAGTTCCGTATTTCTTCTGAACATATTCTATCCATCTTCTGCATACAATAACATATCTCTCTTGTGAATGGTCCTTTAAATAAGCAGAAATTTTAGCCATTTCTGCTAAATTAGAAACCTTAAATACCCATTCTTCTAAAGAAGGCAGAGAGTCCTTCTTCCAATATTGACCCACCAATAATCTTGCTGCTGTTATCAAATTCAATATTAAAATAGTTTCTTTAGCATCAAAATCCACAAAAAATTCTCTCTTGGATTAGTATGTAGATTGTAAACCATCTTGGCCAAGGACAGGAATGTGGGAAATGATGAATTAACCAATGAAACACCTTGATGTTGTTGGGTGGATATGTTGTTGGGTGTTCTGTAATTTGGTGCTGTCCAGATCTTTTGGAGTATAACCTCAAGCGAGGATGAGTAATGTCTAGGATTCTGATAGCTTTAATTGAAAAGCTCTCTATGGTAGTATTCATACATCATGCAGTTGGAAAAGCTCAATTTAGTGTATGTAGTTTAAAGTAGAGGTACCCAACCCTTGGTCCATGGTCTGCTGTTGGGCTGCAACCCAATGGGAACTGGCCTGCGCAAGCAGTAGGTGAGCGTGCGATCGTGCAAAGATGTATTTACACAAGCGGCATGTGCATATGCAAAACCATCCCCTCTCCCTCTTGCTGCCGCCAGTGCAGAACCAGACAGGATGGGGACCATTGGTTTAAAGGATAGGTATTCTTTCATGCAGATGATTAGAAAAAAAGCTCACGGTATAATCTGTTTAGTTTTTGAAGGTAAGGTGTACATGACACTGAAGCTCTGATTAAACAAAGCTAGGTAAGGTCTCTGTTAACTTGAAAGCAGCAGCTGAAGACTTCATAGACATATTAAGAGTATCTGCAAGACAGAAGGAAGCTAGATAAACTAAATTGAATCTTGATTATTATTTAAATTTATTGGCCATCCAACTCCAGCAGAATGTAATTACTAGACCTATTCTCCATAATCATGAGCAAATAACTATGTTGGATTAACATGTGGGATATGAAATGGATACGACACAGTTTTCCTCCCAGCAATGGCTGTATATTAGCTTCATTTTTGGTAGTATGAACAGTTTATATTTCCACATATTGCATGAATCTTGAAATGAATTAATTAAAAGCTTTTCCTCACACTCTTGGTGATGTGTTTTCATCTAATCCTCAAAAGTGGGAGAAAAGTATGTCAACTGGAAATTCACTGCCCCACAGTCTTATCTTGCTGAGCTTTTGAATGAAGTTCAGCAAGATGCTTTCAAATGTAGGTAGAACTTGCTCTCTGCCTTGTCTAGTGATTATTTGAATGGTGCTGAAAAAATCTTTGCAACCAGTCCTCAGATTAATGACTGTCACAGTATCCTTTGGTCACACAATCACCATTTGTGTTTTTTGTAAATGGCTTGCAACACAGAGAGACAATAGAGAAGCCGGTATAAAAATTGCAAGTTGCAGTCTTGCGATGTCTTGCTTAATACCCCACAGCAATTTGCTTAATGACTTCGGCAGAAGTGAGGTGGTTCAGTAAGTCTATTGTGGTTACATGATATTTTGCTTTATGGGCTGTGGTGATTTAACAACTGAATGGGAAGTGATGCCATAAGTCTGTCATGGTCATGTGATTTCCCACTTAGCAACTGTCGTCACTAATTGAGGACTACCTTTAATGGCTGGGAAAGTATCTGGCTATTGAAGTACTGTAGCCATCTCTGGCCATGCACAGAATCCTCATTATTAGATTTGGTGTCTCCTTCCATCAACCCACCCTTCCTTTCCCTTCTGCAGACAACTTTTCAGCAGCTGGGAAAAATGGGGAGCCCTTCTCCATCCTCCAGGGCAGTGGTTCTCCACCTGTGGGTTGGGACCCCATTTGGGGTTGAACGACCATTTCACGGAGGTCGCCAAACAACGTAGTCCACCATTCCCCCCCCCCCTTTTCCTTAGCTGTGCTACTCCCTTTTATTCTATTGGCTTTTGAAAGCCAATAGAATAGACTCTCTTGAATAGAGTCTAATTCTATTGGCTTTCAAAAGCCAATAGGAATTGTCCAGGCTGTCTTTGCCCTGCTGAGCCCGCCAAAAGTCCCATTCTGCAAACAGTGCTGCACCA